GGTTTTAACTACTGAGGTGTTAATGATGTTTTCCTCATCTGATTTTTCCTGTGAATGTCCCAATTAAAATCTTCACAAATGCTTTGTGTAATAGTAGAGTGGTCTCTCTTATTGCATCATCTGATATTGCATTCAGATGTGCTGTTGGTAGAGGTAGCTGTGCAAGTACAAGAAAAGGGACACAGCCATTTCTGTGTCTTCAGAATTCACTTTCTTTCCGATTCCCGAGATGGCAGAGCTTGGCAGAGACCTCTGGCAAACATCTGATCCAACTGCAGGTTCAGGCAGATCACGTTGTTCTCACCAGCTCTGCCACGTCCCAGGCTGCTGCCCTCGTGCTGTGGCTGCTGGTGACACAGCCCTCCCCAGCGCCCCCCTCCTGTGGTCAAGGAGCCACATGGGTCCATGGGTCGCTTGCCTCCACAGCCACTCAGGCTGCATCTCGCTCCCCAGAGGCTGATGTAGAGATGGCATTTTTGAAAGCAAACCCTGCGTTGTCACCCTGCTTTGGGTGTGGGGGTGTGATGAACGCCGGCCTCTGGGTTTGGTCTGCTCAATCTCCAGGATGTTTTTTCCTTCCTCTTTTCATATGCCTTTGTGTTACTAACTGTACAACGCCCGCCCAGTAAACTTGAGAATGGAAAATATTATGGGCATTCTGGATAGCTTTACAGCACACAGATTTATTTCTTCAATACCAAAGGGCTTCGAACTCACTTGGGAAATATTAAGTCCATAGAACACCGACATACACAGAGAGGTGGCCCTGAATCAGATGCTGCCTGCAGAGATAAAATGTGCCCACGGACTGCCTGGTGCTGGACACACTTCAATGCAGCAGCACCAGCTTTGGACGGAGCTCCCAGGAAAACATCAGCCTTACAATTGCAGGGCACCAGTGCCATGGGGAAAAGCCACAGGAAACCTACTTGCAGCCCAATATTTTGTTAAGAGTGATCTGATAGGGCTGCCCGGTCCTGGAGCTCTCCAGTTATGCTGTAGATGCTGGGTGAGGAGCTGCATGAAATCACATGCACCAAAGAAGGATGAATTATAGAAAGAAAAATGACAGCAACGTGCCATAACTAGATATGCTGAGGTGCTGGATTAACTGCAGGTTTTATTTTAATCCAGTTACTTAAGGTGGGAGTTTTTGGAGAGTACACACATTTATATCCATCACTCCTCCCTAGGGGTGCATGAAAGGCTCTGCAGGCCGTGTCATGCCAGCCAGAGCTGAGGGGCAGGGGAGCTGTGCTGGAGGATTTGCTGCATGTAATGAGGCTGTGAAATTGAAGTATTTCAAATCTGAAAGATCTTGCATGTGGCTTCCATTTGAACTACCAGTACCATAGAACAAAAAGCAATAAGCCTACACTGGTCCCATGCGGGTTTGCTCCTTACTGAGCCCAGGGGCTGAGCATTGCTCGTGGGGCAGATTCACAGAATCATAGAATTGTAGAGCTTGGAAGGGACTTCTAGATATCATCATGTCCAACCCTCTTGCTAAAGGAGGCTCCCTTCAATAGGTTGCACAGGTAGGCACCCAGACAGGTCTTGAATACCTCCAGACAAGGAGACTCCACAACCTCTGGGCAGCTGTGTCGGTGCCTCACTGCCCTCTGAGCATAGAGTTTCCTCCTAACATCTAACTTAAATCTCCCTTCTTTTAGTTTAAATCCATTCTCCCATGTCCTATTGCTATCAGACTGTGTAAAAAGTTGACTTCCTTCCTGTTCATAAGCTTCTCATAACTATTGGAAGGACACAAAGAGGTCTCACGGGAGCTGCCCCTTCTGCAAGCCAAACAAGTCTCACTCCCTCAGTCTGTCTTCATAGGAGAGGTACTTTGGCCCTCTGATCATATTCATGACTCTTCCTCTTTCTCTTCTCCAGCTGAACAGCCCCTGGTCTCTCAACCTTTCCTCACGAGGAAGATGCTCCAGGGCCCCAGTCATCTCTCAGACCCCCCACTGGGCTCTCTCCAGCAGTTCCCTGTCTTTCTTGCACTGGGGAGCCCAGAGCTGGGTGCAGTGCTCCACGTGTGGTCTGACCACATGTGCAGGAGAGGAGAACTTCCCTCAACCTGCTGGCCACGCTCTTTTTAATGCATGCCAGGATCCCGTTGGCCTTCTTGGCTGCAGGGGCACACTGCCAGCTCATGGCCAACATGTTGTCCACCAGCACACCGCATCTGGTTATTCCTCCCCAGCTGCAGGGCTCTATACTTACTCTTGTTTAACCGCACCAGGTTCCTCTCCACCCAGTTCCCCAGCCTGTCCATCCTCCTCTGTGCAGCTGGAAGCAAAGGGGTTAACCATCCAAGATTTCTTCAGTGAACTGAAATATGTAATGAAATGTATGGATTGTTCTCAGAAAGTGAACGTGTGCTGCTCAGGGTTGATTTAGTGCCTGGCCTGGAACCTTGCGGCTGAGCTTCCCCCAAACACAGCTGTGGCTGCCTCCTGTGGGACTGTGTGGAATGGAACTGGGTGGGAATGTCCCTGAGAGCCGGGTTTTCCTCTCCCTCTTAAAACACGCAGAACTTTTGGGAGCTGCATTTATAACTAATGACATTATTGCTGTAGGTTTTTTTGTTTGTGTTTTTTTTTTTAAAAGGAATCTGAGGATCTGAGGAGCACATATTGGAAGTGCAGCCGTTGTGACTGAAGAGCATTCTCAATCTCTCTGTCCCTTCAGGGTGCTTGCTCCTGTGTGAGAGCCCTCCTGTGCCGAGGGAGTGCTGCAGCCCCCACCCACAGCACGTGGCCTCAGAGCTGCTCCTTGCTATGCCTCTCCTGCATGAAAAGAGGCACGGTTAGAGCTGCACAGGGCTTTACACACTGTCCTCTTGAACACGTTGATATCTAACAAATGTGCACGTATATAGAGACATATAAAAGTGGTGAGGCAGTGGCACAGGCTGCCCAGGGAGGTGGTGCAGTCACTGTCATGGAGGTGTTGAAGAGCCATGGAGAGGTGGCACTGAGTGACATTGTTAGCGGGCAGTACTGGTGGGAATGGGCTGATGATTGGAATAGAGGATTTAGTGGACTTTTCTAGCCTTAATGGTTCTGTGATTCTATGATTTGCAGCACACACATCTCACATCTCATTTTGTCCTTTAACACAGTGCTGACACGCTGGGTAAAGGAGCAGCATCAGATGGGACATGTCTTCAAGCAGAGCTTTTGGCACTGCCCAACACTGCAATCAGCGCAGGCTGATGCTCTCCACTATGAGGTTTTGTCCAGAACTCTCTGGGCAAGCACAGATGTTTTATAGAATCTCTCTTGGGCTTTGTTTTATTTGGTAATTTCATTCATAGCCTGGATGACGAAATAAAAGGGAGCTCGTAAGATCTGCAGATGTTGCCAAAGGACTCCAGGCATCTTCATGGACAGGAGTAACATCCAAATGAGTTTGAGAAATTGCAGAATGGATCCAAAACCAAGAGGTGGATATGAAAAATGACAGCAGTGTGAATTGTTGCTCACAGGGAGGAGAAGTGAACTTTTAAAGGTGCCAACAGGAAGGGTAGAGGCCAGGCAGTATGGCAGAAGGGCTGTGGGGCCCACACGTAGCCCAGGCAGGTCCCGGCCCTGCAGGCGGTTGGCAAATACACTGGAAAGGAATCTAGGATTTTTAGGAGCACACTGGATAAATCCCGAAGCACGTTTGGTTCTGGGTTGCGGAGGGGGCTGAGCTGTGTGATCTCTTGGGTTACTTCAGCCTCCCTGTGCCACGTCACTGCTGCTGGTCCATCTCTGCTGGAATACTTCCTTCTATTTGCTTAAATCAAACCTCATTTTCTGACTGCTGGCTGGCCTGCATCGTGCATTCTGCAGGCGGCCCTGATGTCTTTCCTCTCTCACTGCCACCTGCAAGAAGGATGCATTTAGTGCTGGGAAGAAGTGGGAGAGGGCAAAAAGGAAGGCAGAATACGAGCAGGAATCTCTTCTTACTGCTCATGTCTACAACCCACTGCATACCAGATGTTTACTTGGGTGCAAAAGCAATGGGAGAAATGACTGGAGTGAAAAAATGTGCTGGTAGGGACAACATCTCCCATTGGGGAACTCCTGAGCTTGCTGGGCTCAGGACCACCTTGCTGTGCAACGCTGTTGTGCTGATTCTGTTCCTGAACATCTGCTGGTGGTGGGTGCTGGGACAGGACCATGCACTGCTCTGCCCCATAGAGCTCATGTGAAAGCCTGGGTCTTAGCCATGCTTTTCCATAGAAATGGGGACTGTATAAATGAGAACAGATACAAGTATTATTGTTCCAGCAAAAATGAACTTGTACATTAACATTAAAAAAAAAAAATCCCTTTGGGCTCATTGATTGCATTTGTTTAGTGGCAAGTTTTGGCAGAGAGGTTTGCAAATCGAAGCTCCCCACCTTTGATTCTGCCCCTAAATCATTACAGCAGTGAAGCTCTCACACCCTCACCTTGCATCCTGACAGTTCATTGCCTAATGTTTAGCAACATTTACAGAAAAGCTGGCCAGGTGATACTGGGAAAAACTTCATTTCCAGAGTGCTGCCAAATCCTTGCAGGTCCCTGCTGTACCTCACAAGATATTTAATGAAGACTTGCACAACAGCCAGAGAAGTACAGCGTGAGCAAGAGCACAGCTTAGCGCTCGTTGTCTCAAGAAAGCCAAGAGGGGAGCCAAGAAAGTCAGAACAGCTCCTTCTGATTGCAGCCTTGGGGTCAGCCCCACTGTGGGGCTGGAGGCAGCGTCCCCTCCATGGTAGGAGGCTGTGTTGGGCCTCGGTGGCTCTCAGTGCAATACCTGGGGTTTCTTCCATGCAAATCCTGCAGGAACAATGGATACAGTTCTGAGGAGATCAGAGCCCAACTGCAAAACAGAAGCTGCCCTGCCCAGATTCATCCCGACCTTCAGCCTCCTGGTGAAATGAAGGCATCCCAGGCAGGGCTGGGAAGGTTCTTCCAGAACAGCGCTGAAAATAAACTCCAGAGATGGAACACAAGTCCAAAAAAAATCTTAATTTATTGTAAATTCTCCTTTCGTCTCTGCTGCAATTCCAGTGTTCTGCACATTAATAAATATACATTTGTTAAAAAAAACAACAAACAACCTCCAGTGTCTAATCTGCCATAAAGCTTTTAAAAAGTCATAAAAATAGGTTTTAATTTTTTTTTTTTTTTTGTCATTAATACAACTGACCCTCCTTTACTGCAACAGTTCTGATCAAAATAAGACTACCTACATCTCACTGGGACAAAATATACATACACAGATAGGAAACGACTCCCACAGGCTCCGCACAGTGCCTGAGCACATGGCCAAGTGTCAGACACCCGAAACATTCAAAATGGTTTTCCCTCAGCCAGAGAATTTCACACAGCACATTGCATCACTTGTAGAGGAAGAATACCCTTCCTCCCCTTCCAACTGCCTCCAAAATGCATTCAAAAATGCACAGGAATATACCAAAACTGAGACTGACACATACTTTATTTCTCTTTTCTTCCCCCCCTGCATTCCCACATTTCTGCATCTCCCCTTTACCACGGTGCAAAAGAAAGCTGATGCGTTCCCACAGGGCTGCATGGGATGTGAGGAGCCCCAGGAGCCCTGGTGGCAGGCAGTAGCTCACGGCTGTACCATTGCCCACAGAACTTTAATCCTTCCATGCGCCTTTGGACACACTGGGAAGGGCAGGGATGTGCCCAGCAGCTGGGAAGTGAGGCCTGGCCATCCTTCCAGCCCTGTGTTTCTGCTCCGATCAGCAGCGTGCTGACTGCAGGGGGACAGGAATCAGCAGCGCCATGGCTGCAATGCAGAATGCCACTGTGTACAACCTGGGAGGGGAACCCTCTCCCCGAGGTCCCTGAGCCACACCAGCAGATTCAGAGCAACCCCTCTCACTTACACCACTTGCTTTTTTATTCTTGCTAATGGCAATGCTGATCTGAGTTCTGCCATACAAAGATGGCGTTGAAACCTTAAGACTAAGATACAACTTGTTTTTAGTCCTGAAGTGCAGTTTCCAAACATTTCAGTGCACTGAGAGAAGAGGCCAAAACACCAAACAGTGGAAAAAACACAAAGCATATTTTGTCACTTGTAGAAGAGGTTACAAAGAAAGATGCTGTGTCCTTACAGTGGTCCAAAACCTGTCAACAAAACTTACTGTATGCATGGATTTAGGAGTTATCTGTACTGTGTTTCTCTGCATTGCATGGCAGGCTGGTTTCCATGCAAACCTCTGTTACTTTATTGAACGCCAAATTCAAGTAAAACTGTGCAACATTTATATAAAAAATATCAAAACTCTTTTAACTGATTTCCTGTTATCAAATTAAGAAGATCAGTATAAATGTAAAATATACAAAAGAGCTTTTTCTTTCGCATCACCATACAAAATATATAAAAGTATCTACACTTTATATATATATATAAATATATATATAAAGGGTGTGTTGTTTTTTCTCTGGAGACGACACGTCCATCGGGGGGTGGACAGAGATGCTGGCATAGAAACTAAAGGACACTTGTTGGGACATTCCTCCGCAGAGTGCAGCGGGCCGATGGGTCACACTGTGGCCGGAGAAAAGTTGATGAGAGCCACCTGGGGTGCCTGCCTGGAGCCCGGCGGGCTGACTCGCTGTAGGACTGCGGCGGTAGCTTGTTTTCCCTTGCTTCTCCCCAACAGATGTGCAGCCCCTGCGGCACTGTCCGCACTGTGAGGAGGTACCCAGCCGTTCCGGGCAGCCCCGCGGCCGTTCCGTGCGTTTTGGCACGGGTTGGTGTTGTTGTTATTACCCCACAGCAGCCCCACGGCGGATGCAGCCGGCACCGTGTTCCCAATGCGAGCACCGGTGCTCTGCCAGGGCACCACCACCCTCGTCCTCGGGCTACGCAGTGATCCCGGCGAAGTCAGAGGCTCAGCCCCACGGTGAGGAGTCCAGAGCCACGATCACAGCTCCCTGGTGGTTCAAATTGAAGTTTCATTACTGCCTCTGTTAGTGGGAAGAAGTGATCATGCAGGGTTAGGGTTAAACTGGCATGGGAAAATGTCCCCACCCGAACTGACCCAATCTTTTTAGTTAGGTCTCACGCTCCACTGATGCTTGCCAACTGAATGTTGCACGGGGATCACAGAATCACAGGGGTTAAGAAGGAAGGGACCTCAAGAGATCATCGAGTCCAACGCCCCTGCTAAAGCGGGTTCCCTCCAATAGGTTGCACAGGTAGGCATCCCAACAGGTCTTGAATATCTCCACAGAAGGAAACTCCACAACCTCTCTGGGCAATCTGTTCCAGTGCTCCATCACCCTTACCATACGGAACTTCCTATGCACAAGCTTTAGGCCAATGCTCCTTGTCCTATTGCTGCACATCACCGAGAAGAGAATGCTCTTCCTGAGCACACCCTGCAGGTGCTACAGGCTATGAGAGTTGTACAGCGGGTGGCTGAGGGGTGCACTATTTAAAGGAAAGTTTATGGATTGTGTGTTTGGCTAACCCTTAAGTGATGATGTGAGGCTCACACTCAGACCTTGCAAGCTGTTAGAAACGTATTTCAGGCAGATTCATGCATTCCAAACCAGGATCTATTTCAACTGCCAGTCCTCAACAGCCCAAACATATATTTCTTCAGTGGGCTGGGAATGCTCTGCACACCCTTGAACAGCATTGGGAGTCTAAAGCGTAGTGGGATAAGGTTAAAGATGGGTAAGGAATTGTCTCTGGTTTTGAAGAAGGAGTGAGACTATTCTTTGTGTTAGTAAAAGGAAGACAATGTGTGCAAAATGTTTACACAGACTTTACTCAAGGCTGTTCTCATTTTGAATGTGAAAACTGCAATGAGTAATGAGGTTTCTGAGAATGCCTTGTGGTTGAAAGCTTGCTCCGCCTTTTGTTAATGTTCAATTCTGTTTAGAATGGCAGATACGCACACTGTATGGTGGGTGGGAATCACACACCTGGTAATTTAGGGTCAGAAGCTCAACACAGCACTTCTCTCTGCAGCTGTTAGCTCTCCAGCCCAGAAAACATGTTCCTCCTGCTTGGCTGGACTCCCATCCCATTCTCCCCCAGCCTCACCCCACACAGTGCTGGGCTTCCTCAGGGGTTTTGGGTTTTTTCCCCATCTGCTGACCTCCTGGCCACCCAGGACACCTCTTGCTGGACATGCATCAAAAAGTGCTGCTCCACGTATTGCCCTGCTCTAATCCTGCTCCTTGGGTGCCTGATATTGGCCAAAGTATAATTAACTGCACCCTGTGACGTGTCCTGAATGGTCCCAAACATCCTCCTTGCTAGAAAATAAGAGAATTTGTGAAAAAGAGAGAGAAAAAAAAAATGCTCCCATGGTCCAAGGTGCGTAGAGGTGAGAGACTGGGAGCACAGAGCTGGGAGCAGGGGGTAGCCCTGAGCAGAGCATTTTCCTAGGGCACAATCCTCACAGCTACACTGCTCATTGCTCGTGCTAGTACAGAGCACACCAAGGTGACCAGTGACAGGTGTCTACCACAGCACATTGCCTGTGATACCTGATTTTGACCTTCTTGTCAGTGAATCACAATTGTGTGTGCACACGACGTGGATGAGCAATGAGCCATGCGCTGGTGAAGGACTCTGGTCCAATCTCCATGAAATCTTTGCTCATGTGGGAGCACGCAGATGGAGAGCGGAGGGAGAGGTGAGAAGCATGGAAGGTCTGGCAGGGCATCCCACATGGCACTTACTCTGAGTCTGATGTCTCAGCATGTCCTGTTCCCACATGGACGTTCATGGCCATGCCATTGAGCTGGTCTCGAGACTGCTCCCTCCGAGCATTTTTGACTGTCACCCCCGAGTCTGAAGGAGAGCGGACCCCATCGTTAGTCCCAAGGGAAGTAGTCCTGGATGAGATCGTGGTCTGATTGTAATCTGACAGCTTTTCTCGCAGCCGATTCTTCATATTCTTGTCAATCAGTGGGGGAGGGTAGGTGACTTTATTTTTTAAGATGCCTGTCACCAAAGAGAGGGAACAATCAGGATTTTGAAACACACCAGTAAATTCATTTATCAAACTGAACACATCTGAGAAGTGACTCTTTATATTTCTTAATAAGAATTCTGGTTTGTCATTTTATTTCAGAACCAAAGGATCAGAAATCACCACTTCCCCCCTGGTAATACAGGCTGAAGCCATTAGGAAAGTGCTCTCCTAATGATCCCAATCCCCTCCCAAACAGATGCTTATTATCGCCACAGTCTCATGGCCTGCTTGCAGAGCTGGATTGGCTGCACTACCTTTCCTCTGCTCTGGCTGCTGGTTGTTCTGGTGGGACAGCGGTCTGTTCTCCTTCTGCTGCCCATCATTCTCTTTGTCCTGTGGTGCTTCATTGCTGTGGTTCACCTGATTTTCCCTGTGAAGCTCAACGTTGACCTTGGTCTCAACTTTGAGTTTCTGTTTCCCGCTGGGGTCCTCGCTGTCGCTGGCCGTTATGCATTCTGTGGGCCAATAGGGTTTCACATGATTGGGAAGGGTATCAACTGCAATGCAAAAAAACACTAGCTCGAAAACCACTGTTGGATAGGTGGTTAGCAACTGCTGCACAGCCAGTGTTATCTCCAGCAGCTGGGAAGGAGATGTGTGCCAAACCAGACAGTCAAACTTGCTGTGTGCTTCAGAGGATCATCATTGCACTGCACTGCTGTTGGGATGCAGCAAAGCCCTCAAAATACCTCTGGCAGGATGGCAGGGTGTCCAACTCTGCCTAAAACAAGGCTGTGGTTCCACACAGAGAAGTGTGAGACAAAACTAACCCTCATCTCTCCAGGGCTGGCAATCCCCCATGCTCCCCAGGAATGGTTTCTGAGAGGTGAGGGCAGCCAAGGCACCTCCCATGGTTCCACTACATCCAGATGCTTGTGCTGCCCAAAGAGAGGCAAGTACTTCTTCCTCGTGCCTACAAAATAACAAGTTCCCTCCCTCTCTTCCTCTTCTTTTGCATTTTGCTGGCTGTGTAACACCATTTCCAAGTGCTGCTGGGACCTGCCTGCAAAACATGCTGACTGCTGTCTGCCTGAGCATGGTTAAGTTGCAGATTTGCTCCAGCATCTTTTTACTTGCGCTCATTTTCCCCTATGAACAAACTCTTGAAAGGAAGAAAGGCCTCTAAGTTGGAGACAAGGATCAATCTGCAGTAGCAAGGCACGGTGGTAGGGATGCCATCTCAAATATATGCTACCTGGTAAATTTGTTACATCTACTTAAAGCTATTTTGGAGAAAATAAAACCATTGCTCTCCCCTTGCATCAGGAGTACCTTTAGGTGTGCTGTGGAGAGGGCCACGCTCATTGTTTTTGGCAGTGGATGTGTTCCACTTTTTCTCTGGCTCAAGTCCGTCTTCTTCACTGTCTGATGAATGGGAGGAGGCATAAGAGCTGCTGTGCTCATCAAGGGACAGTTCACTGTCAGAGTCTGAGTCATGCTCTGCAAATGCAGAAAGGAGAAATACAGCAATGAGAGGGTAACCAGGAGCTGGACACGTCTGTCTGCAATGCATGAAGAAAAAGAAAAGGCAGGTGTCTGGCTCAGGACGTGCCAGGGATGTGCACTTAAACCCACAAGTGCTCTCAAGATTAAATCAGAAGGACTGTGGCACCTGCCTAAGTCTTTATGGCAAGCGTAACTGCTCTATTCAGCTAATGGGAGCTGCAGAACAGAATGTGGAAGCTTTTTGCACTGTTCAATACTCAGAACAGTAACTACACAGGATCTCAATCAACACAACAACTGGCAAGCACAGGTACTTAGAAATATAAAAAAGCCTGCAAATGTACTCTTAAAAACTGCTACAAGGCAACAAAATTTAACAGCAAGACCCCAAGTGAAAGGAAATCAAACAAGAGACACTTCTCATTTTCTTGTATGAAATGCACAGTCATAAAAAAGGATACTGCCTCAAGGTCTCAAACATTAAAAGATGTCCAATTAAAAGTCTAGAGCAGTAGTACATAATTTGTGAGAAAGAAAAGGGACGCCAGAAACTGTCAGCAGCTGTGACAGCTGTCAGATTAAAACTGAGCCATCACAAGAAGCAGATACATATTTCCATTCCAGAATTCCCTAGTAAGGCAACCACTGCATATCTCCTCATGCCAACAGCATAACGAGAATGAGATGCAGAGTAACTGCTCCTACTGTTACAGAAGGCTTTGAAAAAATTGCTGAGAAGGGAAAGCTTCACAGATGGGTCAAAGCACTTACAAGTAATTCTTACCATTAGATTTAGATGGATTCCTGTGAAAAATGGAGGAATCTGCTTCAGTCTGACCAGCCCTTGCTTGACTTGAGGATCCACTGAGCTTATGAGCAGCATCATCCCTTAGAGGATAAAAACACGGGACACCTTTCTTGGTCATTTCACTGTTCTTACAACAAGGCAGACATGCAAATGAGATCCTTTTGCCAGCTGCAGTGCATGCTAGTCAGCCCATGCTTATTTGATTGCCAATGTAGGCACTTCTACAGCAAGACACAGGTAATGTCTGCCTTGGAGACATGAATCATCATTCTGAAAAAGCCTGATGTTAATAATCTAAGTCCTGCTCCTTGAAACACATGTGTATTTTAACAGGCAAGCAGCACAGCCAAAATAGTTAACACAGCAGCGATGGTAACTACTGCACTGTTGGAAGTCACCATTGCAAAGATTCAAGCAAAAGAAAATGCACCAAAGAAAATGACAGTCACATGAAACATAACTGTTAAGACAGAGCAAGTAACACTCGAAACATTTCTCTCTTGCTTTTTGTTTTCCACAAGAGTAACGAAAAGGGAAAGGCAAGCACCTGAAAGCCATGCACCTGCCACCGGATTACCTGAGGATATAAGCAAGGTAGCTATTGTGGCTCTTGGCTGACCTGACGGTGCTCTCTAGGGAGACAGTGGATTCCCCAATGGTTGTGCGGTACATATTTGGCTCTTCTATGTACGTGTTGTTACAGTTCAGAGATCGCTGAAGGGGGAAAAGAAAGACACGAAGCAACAATGAATGACAAGAGGCATTGTTTTAAACAAAACACGGTGGATTCCCGACTGTTCTAGGCAGATCTTTCCGTTCTGCAGCACATAGACTGGCAGAGAGAGCAGTGCCCAGCACTGACGCAGAAGCTGGAGTCTGAGATCTGTAACTGACTCTTTTCTTCAGCTGATGTACCTGCTCTTGAGAGTCTGAGTGTGCCTGAGTTTCAGCAAAGACTTTCAGTTCATTGCTGCTGGACAACAGGGGCCAGGGCATTGTATGCCTTCTTGACAGAAAGATTTTAAATGTGACTTAAGGGTCTACTGTGAGCCTTTAAGGGCAATGGAGAGTAAGACTGATCATTTTCAGAATGTTGATCTTGAGTCCATATATCTTATTAATGTTATTGCAAATAGACATGGAATCAGATCAAAGCAAGAAGTCTTAAAATGATTTTCACCAGAGCCTGTGGGCAGGGACCTGGGTATTCATTACAGCACTTTGAATATTCAAAGCTGGTGGACATGAGGCTCTCAGACCCAGCTCATCAGAAGAGTGTCGGTGCCTCATTTCAATCAACCAATTAATTGAAAACCTTTGCAGTTCTGAGCCTTAAAACCTCTTCCTCAATTTTCCACCTGGTAATAAAATCTAAGCATGCCATCGTCTCCCTTCCCAAGCACGGAGAGACTAGCTGCAAGCTGGCAGAGATGGCACCATGTTAGAGGGTACTTTCACGGTTCAATCTTATGGATTTAGGGCTCAAGACCACAATCTGATCCTGTTAAGCTTACCAGTGTAGGTGTCACCTGGATTGCAATATATATGGAGGAGTAATCGGTTACTTTTACTTACAAGTTTCAGACTTCTATTTACATAAATCAATAGACTATAATAAGAATAATGCAAGTACCAAAGTGGTTCAGAATACCCCACATACAAATTCTGTATCAAATCCTGACCTTTGCAAGTATAAAAAATAACAAATGCCTACTGAAAGTCCCGTTAGACATGCTGCCTGTTAAAAGTCTTTAAGAAGTGATTGTTGATGCTGAGGAAAAAAAATATTTCCTGTCAAAAGTTTTAAATAAAACACTAATCAGAACTTTTGAGAAGTCCTCGGTGATTTTTTAGAAGTCACTGAAAGCAGACAATTCACTTAATTGTGAACATGCCAATTATAAGTGCATTTTAGGTAACTTCCACCAGCCAGAAAATGATTTTTTTCCCATCTTTTTTCTTACAGTTAATAAAGTAGCTCTTGTTGCAGTGGAATCATCTGGAAGAGGTTTCTTTCCAGTTAAAGTATTCTTCAAGTGCTTCCTGACTTCTTTGTTAAATACGCAGTGGAAGAAGAAAATGAACAGCCCCTGGATCGTTTTAGAGAGAAGAAAACGAAATCTAAATGATTCATTACCACAAAACTGCAAACACAAATGAGTATTAGAGAACATTTCTGAAACAACCGCTGAATTCCAGTTCACAGTCCATGATTTCAACAGCAGTAACTATTTCCTGTCTTTGACTGAAATGGCCCTGACTGATCCCTTCTGCATAATTTGCTTCCCAACTTAAATGTGCATAAATGGCCTTGGAAAATATACAAAATGATGTGTTCCTATAGGATTTATAGAGCAGAGCTCATAGTAGTTGTCACTCTACCTCATAGTTCTCAATGTCCAATAGGCACATCAGTGCCACTGGAAGACATTTCAGGAAGTTTCATGGTTGTAGCTGCATTAAGTTTTCAGAGCTTTTACACTGATTCTGAGACAAAATCAGTAACAGCACACCAACAATATCATGGCCTTTAGTGAAAACCTCTGGAAATGGGGAACTACTGTGGTAGGTGTCCTTAATATTGCTGCTAAAAGAACTTTAGAAAGCCTCATTAGGCATGAAGAGATGCTGGGGTCAGGGAGCTTTTGCCCCTTATGTTCTTCCTTCTGGAAGGGAAAGGCACTGAAATTGCCAGGGCTGGGCAGCCTTTGGCCTGCCAGGAACACACATGAACACATTTTTGAGGGGGCAGGGAGCATGCACGTGTATGTTCTCAGATATATTTGCTTTGAGGGAATTCATGCAGCTGCCAAACTATTATCCATTTTGGTTGGAGATATAGTATATAGAAGCCAATCACTCATGAAGTTGCAGCTGTACCAACATTACAAGATGCCTGCATTTCAAGATTTCAGCCAAAGCAATTGACTGAGTAACTTTAAACTTCAAACTCTTTTTCTAAACATTCAATCAAATGCAATCTTAGTTGGCATTAGCACTTTGGGATTATTCATTAATAAAACTCACATAAATGTCCCTCTAAAGAATACAAGTTCAAAGAAGGCAATGACGTGAAACGCCACATACCACCGTGCCTCTCCAGGCAAGTTTGGAGAACTCCAGCCACTGACTTTCCTCCCTCTCCCCAGGTTTATATTTAATTTTATTTCATTCTAGGCTTGTGGAAGCCTGGTTTTACAGCCTAAGTGGGAATATTTATTTCAGAGCATGCCAAGTTGCAGTGGTAGAATATGTTCCAGGCTGGTCTATCTGATGTGCTTGCAAGGCCTGGACAGGCACCTCCTTGGGTGACCTACCAGACTTCTTTTTCTCTTTCATTAAAATCTGTGGTTCTTGTGCTGCAACTGACAGCAGTGGCCTTCCAGCAGTGCCTGTTTTAGTACTGTAGGCAGTACTAATTAGCATGACTTCGTAATTACTTTCATGCCAGATCTCCTACAAACCATATTCTGCATCTTCAATCAACAACAGTGCAGATCAAACAGGTGATCCAGTAGAACCCTACTGCAGTGAGTCATATTTAAGAATCACCATTTGACTAATTTTCTTAAATGGTAACTTACATTGTGAAAGCAACAAAATGACTGTTAACAATGAACTTGCAGAAGACAACAGCAAAGATTTTGCCTCTGGAAAGATACAGGTATAATTACCTACTGTTATTTATCTGTCGTTTTTTGAGAGCACTTATCTTAGGATGACTGAAAGTGATAGACTGCAATTACTAGAAGCTACGGTTTTGGTGAACAGAGCACTCACTCCCTTTGAGAAAACAATACAAAAATTGTACTTAACACCTCAGTTATAAAGTTAGCTAACATTTACCTATTTTTGGGGCACAGCAGTGCGTTCACTGAGGTCATTCACTGACAAAATGCTAACATACCTGCAAGCAGCTAAAAATGGCAAAGAGATAGTGAAAAGTCATGACGTCGCTGTTCACTGCCATCAGCCCCAGGAGCCACGTGGCACTGATGAGCAGGAGGAGCAGGAACGCCGTCCGCAGCACCGAGCTGTGAAGGAAGCACAAGAAAGCACTTACAGCATGAAGGAGATAGGAGGAAAGCTCAGCTTTTCAACACAGGTGAGAAAAAATGCCCTATCCTTGAGAGCCCACACGGACCTGGTGAGGAGTAAATGCCCACGGATTCAGCAAAAAGAAGGCCCTTGAGGCAGTGCTCACCAGCTGCCAATTCCCAACCCCCCTCCTAGTGCTATCTAATGACTTAGAATATTCAGGTTAAAAAAAAAAATAAAAAAAAGGCAATTTCTTTTCAAGTCTGTTTCTAGGGTGATCTTCCAACAAACATGGCTGTTCGCCAAGCCCTACTGTTCAGTCTTGTTGACTGTGAGGCAGAGATCTGGGCGGTAAATGGCCAGGTCCGTCTCAGTTCTGTTTGTTGAGTTCACGTTCGCATTCTTTCCCAACGTTACAGCCCAAGGCTTTGAATTGAGAGCAGTCAGGGGAGTGTATGTTTGCTTAAAAACATTACGTACACAGACACTTTCCAAAGCTGGTGACAATTCCAGTGGCAGAAGTTTCATGTTCTTAGTAAAATGGCTGACATTAAGTAGCAATTTCTCCCCATTTGTTTAGGGAGATTTAAGGAAAAAAAAAAACTAAAAACTGAGATCTAATGCTGAGTAAGTAGCTACAGAAAGCCTTTTGAAATCTTATACAGCTACCTGTTTGTAAAAAGGGGCTGTCTTGACACTAGCTAATCACACTGTAGTTCACAGGCAAATTCTAAGCTTTGGGCAAAATAAGACTTAATGGGAATGTGCTGCCACAACAGCTCAGAAAGGCTGCAGGTTTCAGCTTGTGGGCTCATCCCACGGGGAATGGGATGGGGGTGGAGGCCAGTCCTCAACACAGGAACCACAGTGGGCCCCTGCCTGACCTGACTGGTCATCCTGGTATGCATCAGGGAGACATTTCTGAGCATGGGTGAGCACAAGGAGACTCAGAATTATGCCCACCTGGAAATGCCAGGAGTGAGGTGAAGTGTTAGCAGGCAGCACGAGGAAAGAGACACAGCAGGACTGTAACACCACACAGAAACCAATCTTTTCACTCTTCCCTCTCATGCCTACAGCTGTCACTAGTGCACAGCAACGTGGGGGAGGTTTTTACAGAGCTGCCAAGGGAACCCCAGAAATAGGTGCTGGTAAAGAGATTCCAAACTCTTCCACCAATGCAGACTGGCTCTTTCTCCAAGTATCTTACTTATTTCCAACTCTGACTTTTAGGTAGTTCTATCCCTTTGTTATTCCAGGACAGAACTTCTTCTACAGCTTTTTGAACCCAAACTTACATGACTCCAGTTTTTTCAAATGAACGTTGTCTTCGTCTGCATGATGCTTTCATTGCTAGTATAAAGATGACAGTGTTTATCTGAAAGGGAAATTGAAAAAACAGCATGAGTTCTTTCTCCAGTTTTGTTAAGATTTCAGTTTTCAATGACAATAACATTTTTATCCTAAAATGGTTTGGAGTGCCAAGAATATTGTCCCTTCAATTCACATGTCTCTTCGAGTTCTAAAATTCATGTTTCAGGCCAGTATCACTCAAGATTGTTCTAGGATTCCATCTGGGTGAAGCACAGCAAGACTGCCCTGTGCAAAGGGGTTTGAATGAAACACAAAAACTCAAGAATGGCTGTCTTTATCTGGATCAGAGTCCACTCACCAAGTATCTTGTTTCTGCTGAGGCCAAGGCAGAATATAAGAATAACAGAATAAGCATTCAATGACAGTTACACAAAAAGCCCCTCAAGCCTCCACTGATTTGCAGGGTTGGGATATACGAAGAGGGGTGGTTCACTTGTACTTCATCACTCATAGTGAAAACTTATGCTGTGAATTCTTCCAGTCACTTAATTTCTTAAATCATGCAAGGTTTACCATTGCCATCATCCTATTTCTATCTCTTCACAGAGCAATGGCATAGCTCATCCCGTTTTGAATCTCCCTCCTCTTTCTCCTATTTTCTGTGTTGGAAAAGACACTGCACAGTTGGCTCCACAGCTGTATATTCAAGGCTATCATACTGTTACAAGCTTCTCCCCATTCTCTTCTCTGAAGCTTTCTTCTCTTGAGGCTGAAGGCTCCTAGTTCACTTAATTGCTCCCCAGTGGGAGCAGTTCTATGTCTCTGTTAACTCCCAACCCTAATCCAAAGCACTTCCAGGTGTACTTCACTCTTATTGGAGAGAACAAAACTGCACTTGGCATATAAGGTACAGTCACATGTATATGTATCTTCTGGTGATCAGTTACTGAGAGAAGCTTTAAGGGAGAAAAAACTCGAATTCTTTAGAGTTCCTAACATTTGAATTATTTAATATTTTTTTAGGAATTCTGGATGAGGCAACTATTTGCAGCTCATTTCATTGACTTGTTTTAGAAGTGGCCCAACCAACCCTTCAAACATGGAACAAAACAAATGGGAAAAAACAAGCATCTTTCTAGCCACAGGGCTGGACTGTCCACAAACAATCTTTGCACTAGCAGCCAGGAGCTTAGCTTAGCTCACATTATCTCTTCATGCAGAAGATGCAAGCTTGAGTATACTGGTTTCTAAGATAAGGAATACTGCTGTTTCAGACTGTGACTATTGGTTGACAAAACATAGAAGAAAAGGAGGTAGAAAGGGAGAGACAGCTCAGGATGCCAACTCCACCATACTTACCACTACAACAATTACAATGGGCCCAGCAAAACTCCAGATAAGGGTGTCGTGAACAGACAACCAGCAGAAATCAGGGTTCCCATAGCCTTGTGGATCCAGCCCAACAGCAAGCCCTGAGTCACAAAAGGAAAAGACAGGTCACCATAAAGGTGCTGATGAGATCTATATAACAAGGCACAGCAATAACGCTGTCAGACCACTGCGTAGCAAATAAAATTATAATGGCAAAATGTGTTCAATCCAGGAAATAAAAATCTAGACAAATATTAACATAAAACTTCCGTAAATCAAAACCTTTGCACTGGCTATCCCATATCAAATGACACTATGGGTTTTGCCTACTAGAATAAAGTTCAGCTACATAAATCTACAGTAAATGTAAGTCCCAAGTTAATTGTATTCCAGCACAATTTTATAGCCATATTCACACATAGCACTGAAGCCTTCAGGGTGAGTGACATGTTGAGGAATTTCAATAAGCCTACACAGCAGAATGACATGAATCATAACTAAGGAGATGTCTCTACTACAAAAAAGTGCATTCTTAGCTGCTGTGAGCTTACTGTCACTAAAATAACACTGGAGACAAAGGAACTTGGGAACTCACGGGATTTAACTGCTTGAGCTCAGGAGCAGAGGCTGAGATTCATTTTGAGCTGCAAACCCAGGTAAGTGCCTACCTCACATTGCTTTCATCACTGTCTGAAATGGAGTTTGCTGATGCCCCAAGGCAACTGAGTTAAGAACACACCTTTTATTGCTTTATTTTTCAAAGCCTGGAAACCTGTGAGAGAATCTCAGAGTCCAACCTCTACCTACTGACTTACAGTGCTATCTGACTTTGTGCCCTACGTCTTGCCTATATGGCAACGACTGGGATTTCTGCCTTTGGCCTGCAAAATACTGCAAGAGTATTCTTCAAGAGACAGAAATGGATCCCTACAAGGCCCTCAGCCAATGACATATGGTAAATGGCTGCAGCCTGTTGTGTGTTCACCAGGCACACCTATTGTGCTGAGCAGATGACCTGCCTCGAGCAGGCGTCCAACGTTCAGGGCAGCACCGCTCTGTGCAGTGAGGATCTGTACCTATTAATAACCACTTTTCTGAGCTGAAACCTGTGTGCTTTGACAAAAAGACACAGCAAAGAAGGGAGAGCTGTGTTTTACACTTACTGCATAAAAGCTGGCACGTGGCCAACGTTCACATCTGGTGCAGACCTACGGTCTATGAAAACTAAACTGGCAGTTTAGCAAAGCAGTGGATATTGGATCTGTTTTCTCTGAAGCGTGGAATGAGATAGGACTGGTCTCTCTCTCTCCGTTCCCATTGGCTCTTCCACCGCTGCCTTCAGCAGTTGCCATCCAGAAAGAATTAGCCATAAATGATTAAGGGACCATAAAGTATTTTATACAGATGTAATTCTATAGACACAGGCTGTTTCCCAGGACTGGATTTCCCCATTAGTAGGTCTTAAGCTACAGTCTGACCAAACATCTGGCTCTAAGAGTAACTGGCGGACCGCAGTATTTTTTCACTCCCAAAATCCTACCCTAAAGTTCCCCATTAAACACATGGGGCAAACTGCAGCCTTCAGGTAGGCGGTTCAAATTTTACTGGAGTCAACAATATGTGAAATAACACTTTACCCAAAGGCAGAATTAAGCCAATGCAATTTAACATAAAGACCGTTTTGGCACACCAATTAAATGCTCTGAGTGTGCGGGCTGTACGACAGCTCCCTGACGCTCACAACTGGAGATTCTCTGCTGGGGAAGCCCAGCACCCATCCCACCAACATGCCAGGAGAACACATAAGGCACGTTTTGACCCTTCAGAGTCCCTGCAGGCCTTGCAGCAACTGCACACCAGCCTTACCTCTCTCCTGACTCACCATTTTGCTCAAGATCTACAGCAAATCTAGAGATTTTGGCAAAAAACCTATGATCTGGGGTATACTGATTTAAGGACGATGTAAGAACCTGTTCTAACACGAGCTCTTGATGGCAAGCAGTTATTGAGAGTGTGTGCCAGCCAGTCAGCATGTTGCCACAAAGAGGGGTCTTGTTGGATGCCAAATCCAGAATTTTGTTCCTGGGGCAAGGAAGTCATAAAATCCCTTTCCTAGATGGATCAAACTACGTCTTAAAATGAGCCAACTTAAAGTGAATTTAATTTGCTTTAAGCAAATTCCACTATTGCTCCCCACGGAGGAATATTCCACATCCTTACTCTTTTGATGACAGTAAGCCTCCTCCCACCCTCAAACCTACATTTATTCACAGCAATTTGCTTTTGTATGGAGTGATTAGATGTGGTTCTTCACCACTGGACTGGTCCTTATGTAAACATTTTGCTAAGATGTTTTTCCCTCTAAAGTTCAGGTTTCCCTTTTGCACATAGCCAGGTCCTATCACAGATCCCTTAGCAATACTATGTGCCAGTTCAAAGTGAATGTCGAGCACAAAAAATATGAAGAAAAAAAAAGAATAACAAGTTAAATTGACTGCTGCTGTAGGTTCACTTTTCTCAGGATATCTACAAAGGAAATGCACTAGGCTTCATAGTTATCTTTTAAATAAATATCACAGAATGGCCAGGGTAGGAAGGGACCTCAAGGATCATGAATCTCCAACCCCCCTGCCACATGCAGGGCCACCAACCTCCAAATTCAACGCTAAACCAGGCTGCCCAGGGCCCCATCCAGTCTGGCCTTGAACACCTCCAGAGATGGGGCATCCACAACCCCCCTGAGCAGCCTGTTCCAGCACCTCACCACTCTCATAGTAAAGAACTTCCCCCTGACATCCAACCTAAATCTTCCCTCCTTCGACTTAAAACCATTTCCCCTTGTCCTGCTGTTATCTACCCTTCCAAATGTCCTTCTGATGACCAAGACTAAAATTCTTTTCCATACCTAAACTTTTCCACTACCGAAAAACATACACAATCCTTCTCTCATGAAGAAATTTAAAAGAAATGGTGTTCAAAATGCATGTTAAGAAGTTGGAACCTTCTTTAGATAATAAACTTTAAAATTCATAGCAGAAACTTACTTGAAATACGTACAGTAACAAAGCTATCCAAAGGCAAGAAATCCCAATTGTGCTCTTTATAAGGAAATAATTTTCTATTCAGATGATTTCTGAACCTGGAAGGTCAAACTAATGGCTTTGCTTTCTTGATTCACTCTTGATTCCACAAAATTCTCTGACTCCTTCAGTAATAAGGATCTGACTTCCTTGTTTAAGTTAACTGTAAATCAGTGGATTCAGAATTTATAGTACAACAGACACCTTGGAGCTGTAATTCTTAATATACATATTTTTAACACTGAAAAATTGTTCCACGTTAGAGGGAACAATTTCTAATCAGAAAAATGTAAAAGGGGTGCACTTGCAACGTACAGATAAAATCACACTGCTGCTGAGCCACTCTGAATTCACTAAAATTCATGAGAAACCAAACAAGAAATGGAAAATCCTTCAGAAGAAATAATACTGGGGAGCTACGTGTTCTGAAACACAAACTGCTCCCTTCCATTAGGTGATAATACTTCTCTTCTACCAGAAGTGACAGTGCCGACTATCTGATGGCACTGAATGTTCCTGTATACATTGCAGTGGTGCCGATAACAGCTGCACTGGTCTGAAATGCCACAGAAATCAACAATGTTTTCTATCTGAAGTGCTGGGGATACATCCAGAGTGGTGGAGTCCTGTGGACCTTTCACTACAACCTGGATAAATTGACATAAGTGGAAAATACGCACAGCTTGATACAGAAAAACTTACCATGTCTCCAGATAGGACACTCTTCCTCCCTGCACTATGGTTTGTTTTTACTACGTTTTATTATTCTCCTTTAAGTCACACAGAAAAAAAACATGTATATTTTCAAAAGTCTAATTTGTTCCACAATTATTTTTCCAAGCGTACATGATTGATAGCTATTTATTTGATTGGAGAGATATGTAAATTTCTGTCATTGCTGACAGTATGTTGTTATCCATAAAAATAAATGAGTAAAAGTTAACTGTCTGCCGAAGATCTCATTTCCCATATGGCAACAGATACATGCTGAAACAGTTGAAGCAAAAAACCCCTCTCCAACTGTTCTGCGAAGCTCTTCCCAAGGAGCTGTCTGCCTGCATTAAGGCAGCACCATGTGCTAAGGGCAGCACTGGAAATGCCTGACCGCAAAAATAGGAATGATGAGGGCGGAGATAGATGGGCTCCTGCAGAACAGCCTGGAACAGTTTAAAAGATTACTGCCTCCAGCTTTTCATTACTTTTCCTCAACTGAAAGTTATTGCATTTCTATCTGAAATGATGTAAAAGGCTGCTTGAGTATTCCCAGCTCATTTTCACGCCAAGTAAAACAGAGCTGCTGAAATCCCCTTCAGAGAGCATTTGCTGCTGGTCAAGGGCACTGCAGTGGGAACATCCAGAGAAGCAGTGCCCCGTGGGTAGTATTGCTTCTGAAGCCACTGCAGCCACTTCCCCAGAGACTGTGTCCATATCCCAGCATGGATATGGACACAGACTTAACTACCAGCATGGGGAAGGATATTCAGGATGACTAAAAACCAAGTTGTTCAAACGAACACACACTTATATCCAAGCAGTGTTAACAAGTCCTGCTTTAATCTGGGTGCAACTACATTTATGTTGCTGTAACACCCTCAGAATCACTTTAGCTGGGACAACAGACATTTAGGGCGCAGATCTGCCAAGTTCCACTGACTTCTACTTCACAATGCATCTACTGAAAACACTCAAGCGACAGTAGTAGCTGAGTGCATCCATATCCGTTTTCGATGGGGTCACTTTCCAGTGAAGATGGCAGGGAAAGCAAACAAAGCTTCTTTGGAGTGGTTGAGGGTACCTGTGATAATGGCAGGAATGCCCCAGCCAACGACGTAGTAGAACCTCATGTGCCCAAAGTTGATGTTCCTCACTTCAGTCAGCATCCGGTAGATGTGGAGCTGCTCCACGAACATCCACGCAAAGGTACTCATGTAGAAGTAGTGCAGGAGGATGGCAATCACCGTACAAACAAACTGCAGAAGGAAAAGGGCAAGGAAATTAGAGCTGCTTTTCCGAAATATGCAGCCTGGTGAGTCACAGGCCTCCTATTGCAGCTCGAGGGAAGTGTGATAGGAAGGGTTTGGCAGAAAGAACACACTGCCATTAATTTACATTTCTGTTGGTTGTTTTTTTTTCAGAGATTCAGAAAAGTGGTGCATACTGTGAAAGCCATATTTTTTCTATACTGTTATGCACCTGTTCTGAATCTGCTTTGGCTTTATTCTATTGGTTCAGTGTGCTTTTGGTCACTGCCCTTGCCCTTGCCATGTGTTCTGTGGTTCATTTCTCTGTGTGTATTTGATGCCCAGGTGATGCTTCTGGCTCTTCTGTCTGAATTCCTTCTGCTTGCAGGCAGACCAGTGCTGGCAGAGCTCATGGCTCTTTCTCCTGCTGTGCAGCTGGAAGTGGGGATGCCCTGCACTGCAGAGGCCACAGACCCTCTGCCCAGCCTCGTGCATGAGTTCTTCCTGTATAACACTGTCCCATCAAATTCAGCAACAGCAGGTTTAACTGCAATAAGCAGACCAGTCTAGTTGCAAAGTCAACAAATTGTTCTTGAAAACTTCCACCAGCATCCCTGAACTGACTTGGTGTTTCCCATTTACACACCAAGGGCCAACCCATGGGTTTTTCTGCTACTTTGCTCTTCCCAGTGAGAGAGCTGTCTCCCCATAGTATTGCACCATTTCGATATAGTTTTGCTTTGTTTTAAAGTAGACGATGTGTTGTGGTGATATTTGTAAATAACTTGTATTTGGCAGAGGTGGAGGGAAGTGCGAGAAAGATTTTAGATTTTCAGTTGAGGTCCTTCTTGCTCTTGAAAACCTCCTTTCTAGGGAAAGAAATCAAAGAGGTTTCAGTCTAGGAAGAACAAATATGCTTAATATGAGCAAAAAATGATCTGCAGACTTCAGCCAAAGAAGTCCAGCCTCTCTTGGAGGTATTTTCTTACCAGTTAAATGAAACGTCTCTTCTCAAATAGGTAAAATTTGTAGAATCATAGAATGTCTTGAGTTGGAAGGGACCCATAAAGATCACTGAGTTCAAGTCCTGGCTCCATACAGAACCACCCAGTTTGATGTGATTTTATGTTCCAGCAAAAGAGCAGCATGCCATTTTGCTCCCATGGGACTGTGCCACAAGGATCTCTGACACTAAGGCTGGAGATCAGGTGAAGGAGTACTAAGGAGGAAGAAGCTCCTGAAGAGCCGGCATCATTTATATGACAAGACAGTAACTCAGGATTGAGTAACAGAAATCATATGAAAAGGAGTCAGGAACTTTAATAATGATAATAATGCACTAATAAGCAGGTAGGAATGAGAGTGTTTGACCATACTGTGGTCAGAGAGCAGGAAAAGTGTAGGACCCAAGGAAATCAAAGAGACTGGGCTGTTAATATGACTAAGAGAAATAGCTATGGTGGGCAAACTGGCAGCTGAAGTCAACTTCATGATAAAATGGCCATTCTGAACTCTCAGAGCTTCACAGATCTACATTTTTGCAATATCTGTCAACCAAGTTTTCCTCCCAACTGAAGAGCTTGATGACTGAAAATAAGAATGACCACAAGCATCCTACAGTCAAGGCAAAATCTATCCCATTAACTCTATTCATTTGCTTGTTTGAGAAGCAAAGCAAAGGACTCTGCCAAGGATTTGCTGATAAGCTTGTGTTAAAGCACTTTGAACAACTACATGATTTTTGTTTCAAAATATTTTACACTGTGCTTTTTTTGGGGCACTGTCCCTGCCTTCTGATTTCAGTGTAACATTTCAGTGTTCTTGCATGGCATAATGCTTAGAACCACAACTTAAGACTTCCCTGCTCAACTTTACTGAGGATTTTATATTATTATCGCCAGCTTTCTGGATTCACTTACTGTATCAGCTCTATTACAACGTCAAGTGTTACTGAAAAAATGTCTCACCAAATAAAAGGCCTTTCCTCCCTCTATGTAAACGGGGATTTTTTGTTTCTACTGGCACACGGACATGAGTAGACTCTTGCCCTGAGCATTACCTTTTTCAGGTAAGAAAAAAAAAAAAGTAAATAAATCACTTTCCATCAATTGTCCAGGGAAAGATTAAAACCTCACCCAGAAATGTGACTGTTAATTCACAGAAACCCATAAAAGCCAGGCTGGGTGCCAAGCAACGCAGCATTATTTGTGCTCCAGCATTCTTTCCCTCTTTATGTTCATCAGTGCATGACTCGTTAGACAACTCTCATTCCATACAGACAGATGAATAATTGTCTCAAGTAGACATGGCTTACAACCCTCCTACCTTCTCAGATTGACTGGGTAGGCTGTAAGGAGCGGCTTCCTGCTCTATGAAATGCATTCTGCAACTTAAAACATTTTCATAAGTGGGTTAAGGGTTTGGGCTGTTTCACTGAGCCCTGGTAACAGCACAGGACAGGATCGCAGCCCTAAAGACTGAAAATGGGAAGCAGTAGAAGAGAACAATCTGGCAAAGCACAACCAGCATTGCTAAAGTGCACCATTTTACTGCTCTTACAAGCATTCACTTGGTGCTCCATGATATTACAACAGGAATGTGGAGATGAGAAGCCATCTCTCACTTCCGGAGTTTTGTAAGGTACTGCAGACATCTGGGCTCATCCTTCTGCTCCACAGTATTCACGTCAGAGAACTGAGTAAACTCCCTGCTAGTGAAACACAGTGAAAAATGAGTGCTGTACCCAAGAAGGCATGAGAAAGGTCAAGTTACACAGAACGCTGATGATCAATTGGCCAGGTGAATTCATGTGAGAAACAGTTATTTTAATATGCAAACTCATATATTATGAGACAAAGACAAAGCAGGTCACACATGATGTGAGGCCATATCTGAGGGTAGGTCACTGTGAAAGACTGCTAAGGGACTGGAGTTGGAGTAGAGGGGAAAATCAGAATATGAGACTGGAAATGGCACTGTGAGATGGAAAGTTCTGTCCAGTTTAGCGTTGACAATTTTCCAAAAGGTAAAATGGGGGAAGGAAGCCCTGAAAAAAGGCACCAGAGTGATACGAATCTTAGAAACAGGAAATTAAGCTGTTCACTTTTACTTAGTTTTCTAACTGAAATATTGTTGAATACAGGGTTCTAGGGAAGACAAGTCTTTCAAATATATTATGACAAGGGCTCAACAGCACCCAGTTACCAGAAGCTGAAATTAGACAAAATTTGATAGCACAGAATCATAGAATCACTTGAATTGAAAGGAACCCTTGAAGTTCATCAAGTTCAACTCCCCTGCAGTGCACAGGGACACCTACAGCAGATGCTCAGAGCCCCATCCAGCCTGACCTTGAGTGTCTCCAGGGGCAGGCTTCCACCACCTCTCTGGGCAACCTGTTCCAGTGCCTCACTACTCTTAGTGTAAAAAACTTCTTTTTTACCCCCAGTCTAAATCTCCCCTCTTTTAGTTTGAAACCATTTCCTTTTGTCCTCTCACAACAGGCTCTCCTGAAGAGCCTGTCCCCTTCTTTCTTACAGCCCCTCTTTAAAAATGAAAGGCCTTTCTTTTCAAGATTTAGATTAAAACATGACATGTACAAAAAGGATTTCTAGAAGATAAATTGTTTTTTAGAGTGTTCAGATAACCCCTATGCTAAAATTCTGAATATTCTTTACATATGGTAAGGACAAACTTTTTATTGCACATCATCGCCCATTTGTCTGCTGTCCATTTGGTAAAGGAGGATGAGAAGCTTGGACCACTTGCCGTTTGTCTGCATGGTAACCACGACTTTTGAGATGAGCACTACTAAGAATTAAGAGCAATATTACATATAGTGCTACAGAGCTAAAATAGCAGTGAAATTCTAGGCACAGCATACACATACTCTGTATTTCATATTCAGTCCATTCATGACTTATGTTTCTTGACATGCACAATGCTGGAGCTGTATGCACTATGCTTTGGCAACAGGTATGATGGACTGAAGCCAGGGTCACCGTGGCTGGGGAGCACAAAGGAAACTGACAGGTTTCCTACTGATACTTGAGTGTGACAAGCTGTCCCATGCTGGCAAGTGGCTTCTTCCGAACAGCATGGCAGGTATGCAATGTGCACTGAACATCTGCACAGCAGTGCACTGCTGATAATCTACCAGTCAACACCAAAAGCCATTTGGGCTTGTGAGGTACCTGCTGCAGGAGAAACTGGAGAATCTCCTACTGAACAGACAAAGCAAGACAGAATGCATACTGATGGAAAGGAAGGAAGAAACTGGAATTCAGGATTCGGTTCCTGGGATAAGTTTTCAACAGGACTGCTGTCTTTTTTTTTTTTTAAATAACATACAGATCTATTTCCTAGCACTGGTATTCGTCATGAACAGTACAACAGAATACATTCATTCTGACATTTAAACAAGATTTAGGCTGAGCAGAAGTAAAAAGAAGAAAAAGTGAAACAGACAGAAGCAGATAGAAGTCACAATATGAGCCCCTGATTTAAATTCTGACAACTCTCACAGTAAGGAGGAAGTAACTCTTACCGGGTTTTCGGTTTGGTTGATCCCAATGAGGAAGACAAGCTCGGAGAAGAAAAGGGCAGCCACCAGGTTCTTGTGGATGCTGTGCAAGTTGGACCGCAGCGTGCGGATCAGAACCAGCAGGATGAAGGTAATCAGCAAAGCCACCAATGAGATGGAAACAGTTGTGTAAGTGACAATCTTCAGAGGAAGAACATCCCCATTCTGCAGGAAGAGAGATTGACAGAACTTGTGAGTTTTCTCTTTCTTCTCTTTCAATCAGGCCTACTACTTGGAAAGTCAATGCTTTTGTTACTACTGAATCAATGTATGGATTTGCTTCGAACCAGGAGTGGATGATGCCACCTCTTGAGTCACTCAACATTTTGCATGGGCAGCATGCAGAAAGAGCAGGAATCTAAGTGGGAATCTTAGTGTATTTCAGGCTGGACTGCCCCTCTTGAGGCTGTCCTGAAATGCTAAAAAACCTGTGGAGCTTATGACCTTGTTCCTGCTGTCGTAGTTCTACATGTACCTAGTATGTATCTATAATCCTCGTTTCATTCCCTCCTCTGCATGGCCTTCTGCAGCACAGACTAGCACAGACATGCATTGCTGGCTATGTCACGCAACAACCAGTTAGCTCCAAAGCTCCTTGAAGGCCCTTGAGGACCAAAACCCATCCCACTGAGGCATAAGCTTGGGATCACCCACCTCCCGTTTTGAAATGTCCATCAGGACAGCAAAGCTGGTCAAATGGTTGCACTGGCAGGCAATATGGCTCTGGTTTCTGGAAAACAGCTCACATCCTCTGGAAGACCAGGCACCTGTTCCTCCAATCCTGCAGGGAAAAAAGGCATCTATGGGAGCCATCCTCAGATCTCACCCTCACCTCTTGCTGCCACTGCCCTCCAAGACAGCTCCCACTCCACAAACAGAGAGGACTGTATGTATCAAGACAGATATATTTATAGCGGTCACCTGCCTGACAGTACAAACAACTTAAAAAGCCCTGACTTGAAGTATTGCTTGCCAGCTGTTGTGGCTTTGCAACAACCTGTTTTGAGTTAAAAATAATTTTTAAAAGTCCTCATTTTGTGCAGTGATCATACAAGCAATATGGGGAAGTGATTGCATAGGGCAAACTGGCCATAGCAAGAGTATGAGGTAAAAAATACCAAAACCACAGGGACATGTTTTTCAGCCATCTCTATTTCTCTACACTTAGTAAAATTCTGATGTGAAATGTATTTCAGCAGAAATATGATTTCATCCCTATATTCCTCTAGAAAGTAGACAAGAAAAGTTAAAAACAGGAGATAATATTTTATATCAGGAAATGTCTTGTATTAGCATCATGGAGGAACTGTTCCTTTAAAAATTCTACCCTATTTAGCCTTGTTTAACTCTAGAAAAGATTTTGTGTCTATATTAATTATTCTATCGTGAAGTTAATGACTAATAAAAATTCTTTTGTAATTATTGAAAAGAGTTTTTCTCTTCAAGATATTACACAGGTGATCTTTTAAATTCAGTAATGAAACATCTGTTAAATAGTTTTAATGTCTCTTTCTCTTGAAAAGGACTCACATTTTAGAAAAGCTCTTGTATTATGTTTACAAGCTCCTTTATAATTGTGGCTGTAGGAAAATGTAACAAACAGTAATGCCACTGAAGTTGCCAGCAAATAGCAAATGGATGAATCACATTAGAGCTAATGAGTTATTCAAGCCCATACAATGTTTAAAAATTTATGAAAAGGGACTTGCCATTTCCTCATAATTGGCAGAATCATCTGTATGTAGAAGCAAATAGCACATCAAGAAATTTCTTATCTAAGCTTTGTGCTGATACAATCTCAGACTACTTTACAAGCAGACAAGTGGAGTAGTTTATTATTGCTAACAAAACAGATTTCTGTTTGCCTGCTCAATCCTTTTAATGATATAATCTCCATAAGCTTTTGACTAGGAGGCAAACATTTCCTAGGTTAGCTTGCTCTTCTATTTCCAACACAGGACTTACTTTTCAGTGGATTTTTCCATAGGTTTACTGGAGTTTAGGGGTCATTAGAAAACGAGTAACAGCTATTCCTCTAACTGTGGGCTGACAATACCATCCTTCTGCTATATACCCAGTTTCATGGTTTTATATGTAATACTTAATGAAATCTTAACTTGACAAACGTGTAGCTGTCATAGAATGGCTTGGGTTGGAAGGGACCTCAAGGACCATCAAGGATTGCTATCCCTCAATACATTTTCTTTTGTTTTATCAACACTCAGAAGTATGTTCAGCAGGACTGCGCTGCTTCCCCAGTCGTGTACACCTCAATAAAAGACACGAATATATAGAATCCTTCAATTTTTCCAGATCTTCACTAATTATGCCTGTGGTTTTAACGTTATACAATACACGATACTTAAATTAAATAAACATATTTGAATATTTCATCTTCTCCTTCATACTTCTCTCCTAGATTCACCCTCTGCTTATGCTTGCTGTCCTGTACTGTCTGCTTTCTAGTAACAGCAAGAGGTCTAAGGTCCCAAGGAAGGTATTTCTTTCCCTCCATTTTTTCACTAAAACAAATGAAAAAAGATATATAATAGATGGTGAAAGGAAAGGCAAGTTGCTTCTTATCAGTGCCACTTTCTTTGAGTTGACTTCTGATTCAAAAACGATTTCTGAGATTTACAGTCTTAACACTTTATCTCCTTTTTTTACAACATTAGCTTTTTTATTTATTTTTTGCACTAGTTCTGTCTGAGGCATCAGTGATTGCTGCCTGCTTGCCTTGCACTCTGCCCACAGTCACTAGCAAGTGATGGGAGAAGACGCAGCCCATAAAATAACTGAACAGTCTTCTGAAGATGCGCTCCTAAGAAGAGGACATGAAGCAATGAGAGTCCTGACTAAGAGACCTCAGGTGAATCACGAATCCAGGCACTAGAGCTAGATTCCATTTGTCTAGTTGTACATGTGCAGGCAAAAAGAATGGGCAAACAGATGGAGACTGTGAGATTTATTACTCTTGGATAATACTGCAGAAGGACATAGTGGCACTGCCTCTGTAACCACAAGGCTAGGCATTTGTTTGAAGAGATATGATGATTATTTTTTGCTGTTCTCAGGTAATGGGAAGTGAGTACTTGGCTCCACCAGGAATTATATGCCAGTTGAGTAAACTGAGTGAAAAAGGTTCTCCCTCCAGAATTACCCTCCTAGTTCTCTTCTACCAAAACAGTTGCCATGCTCAGCCCTAAAGAAAGCAGAGACATACATGATGGAGTGATTCCAAAAGACACAGACAGGCTTTGTTCTCTCTTCTGTTTCCAGCATGGCATACTCCACTATGATGGGCTTTTCCACCAGGTTGGGAGGAAGCTCCCCGTCACTGTGAATGGCTGTGCTCACCACAGGTGTATTAATAATTGGGCGATTTGGTAACCTGCAGAAGGAGAAAAACCACAAAAATGATCTAGATGTTAAAATGGAAAGCACAGATTTAGCAGATAGAAGATTTCCAGTAGATTCAACTCAGAACACGAGGCAGATGGACCACCAGTCTCCCACACAGCCAAGCTTCCAAGGCTCTACTCTTTCATTTGTTCTCCCACAGTGTGCCAGAGGAGTACAGGAGACTGCAGTGGCAACTGTAGCGCAGGTGATGTTTGTTTGGTATAAAAGAGCTGTGCCACCCCTGCATGGAAGAAGCATGTGGAAGGAGATCTGCACAATTCATAGACAGGCTGAACTCTCACCTCAGGCTCCTTCGGTCAGGATCATAGTTTTCGGGCAGGAGATGTCCTAGGGACCGGTATATAATGACCATGGCAACAGTATGATGGGTAGAGTCATCAGGATGCCGCTTCCTTCTCTTTGTGAACATACTCTCAGGGCTTCGTGCATCACTGTTCACCTTAGAGGATAATTTTTGATTTGAAGGCCTCATTGTAGGTACTGCTAAGGAATTAACATAAATATTAAACTCCTTCCAAGCAACATCAAAGCTACCATTTAAACTGGTGATTTTGCTTTGCAAGGATGCAGAAATATTTCTGTCGCTCTAAGTTTACAGCACTGAGCATGCTTCTAGTGAAACATTTTGAATGAAGTTTTAACACATTTCATAGTTATAAGCTGATAATTAAATAACCACCGAATCACAAATAACCATTTAGTTCAGCTAGAAAATGAGGAATTTCTAAACAAATGGATCCATACGTGCATAAATAATCTGTGCATGATATAAGGAGAAAGTTAAAACAATATCCGTGTTATTACTTTGCATGCATTTGTGGCACAGCTAGAAATAGCTGTGAGTACAACTGGTCACACAGGAATCTGTAAGCTCATTCTTTCATATAATAAGCTTCCAATTTTGGCAAGTATCTCTTAACATTCACATTCCCTCTTCCTTAGAGAAAAGATATAAGGCACAAGCAGGAAAAAGCCATACAGAGAGATGCACAAGCTTACTGGTTATTCTATATTATTTTCAAAAGTGCTACTATTTCCCCATTCCAAGGACATTCAGCCATGCTATTTGTATAGTAACTGGCTAATTTACTCTCTCAGCCCTTGCTTAAGGTAAGCCACAGTTTCTCTCAGCCACGTCTGGGTAATCCAGAGCTACGAACGGCCCACGGCTCCACAGCGTGCCACCCATTTCCTTGCCCAGCTCCAGGCCTTTCAAGGCACAGCTCTTGGGCTGCAATGGGACTGTTCTGCTCCCAGACTGGGATCCCACACTCCCTCCTTCCATCCCTGCAGGGCCCAGGAGAGGGTGGCCGCAGGGGAACAGCTTGGTGGGAACAGCACACTTCTCTGGTTGACACAGGATTGAGGGACCTGACAGACAGGTACAGCCAGTTACACAGCCCCCGGCAGGCAGAAGGCCTCTGAGGTATGCACAGCTGCTCCAACCCAAAATAATGCTTGCTTGTGCAGGTGATCACCCTACTCTCACCCCAGTACTGTTCTGCTTCACAAGGATCAATAACACATCCTTGGGAGCGAGTCAAAACTTCCCTCCAAACGTCAGCAGGTTTTACCTTTCCTGTCCGAAGGTCTGAACAGAGTATCTGGGAAGGTAACAGATGATTCCAGATCTTTTGGATAATCCTCCTTAATCTCATGAAATCGTGGTATTCTAGCTCCCGTAAAATTAGACTTGTCAAAGATGTCAACTGCAATAACTGGAGAAAAAAAGTTTCCCACAAAATTAAGTTTAATTCATTCAAATATGATATTGAAACAAAACGTGATTGGATGCTTAAAACATCTGCACAACACAGAGAAGAAATGTAAACCCTCAAGTACAAAGTCGAATCATAGAATCACCAAGGTTGGAAAAGACCTTCAAGATCACCCAGTTCAACCACCTACCTATCACTAATAGGTGATACTAAACCACGTCCCTCACTAAATCAAACATCTAGTTCTCACTAAACCATGTCCCTCAACACAAAATCCAAACGTTCCTTGAACACCTCCAGGATCGGTGACTCCACCACCTCCCTGGGCAGCCCATTCCAATGCTTGACCACTCTTTCAGAAAAGTAGTATTTCCTAACATCCAGCCTGAATCTCCCCTAGCACAAATCTAATTTCTCTCCCCATGTACCTTAAATGGCAACTAGAAGTCCATGTTTCAGCACCGATACAGTTAGGAAATCACACATTTAATGGGACTGTGGAGGCAATGGAAAGGCCTTCGCAGTGCAGTATTCATACTGGGAAAACAGTACCACATACTTGGGAAACTAGAGTGTTGTGTTCCAATTTCAGACTTGTTTCTGTAGGGAAGGCCAAACCTGCTGCTTCACAAATATGTATTTTCTCTATCAGCTTAGTTGATGTGGCATTTTAAAGAAAATAACCTGGATTTTACCCAGGAATACTCCCTAGTCCTCTAGCTCTCTTCCCTCTGTGTTAACAGTTACTCCCTGGCTCACCTCATCAGCTCTGCCTGTTGTCTAACTGCCAAAATATTTAAAAGCAGCTGAGTTGGCTTGAACTTTCCTATTTATGAAAAGTCACTGAGTGCCAATTTAGATGTTCTAATAAAAGTGAGAAGCTGGAAGTCCTGGGGGTAACCCTACACTGAAAGCTGTGATCTGCAGCAAGTTTCTATATGAAGAAATATCCAAGTTAAGATCTGCAAATTCCAATTCCTTTTCCAGCCACTAAATAACACTAGTGAACCACTAGGAAACTCCATTAACACCACATTCACCTGGAAAAACTGTTCAAAAGAAAACAGACCTCTTTCAGCAGAGTTGCCTCATCCCTCCCAAGCTCTTGACTTTTTTACTCAGGAAGAGCTGGTCTGAAAAAGCAGGGTTTACAATCTGCAAAAAATTCTGGGCTTTGTTTTTCATCTTAGTTAAAACACTGTTCATACATTTTTCTGAATGTGAAGATAAAAATATTTTGATTCTGATATTCCTAAATCAAAAGGAAAACTTTAGCTTTGGTCTGTTAAAGAGAATCAGAAGTATTTCGGTTTGGCTCAGCTCACCAACAGTCTCTCTGCACTGGAGCCAATGCAGGCCTCTGTAGAATTACAGAATCCTTAGAGTTAAAAGGGACCCTTTTGAAAGTTATCTACTATTTCCCTGCAATGAAGAGGGACAGCAGAGCTATGTCAGGTTGCCCAGGGCCTGATTTGGCCTTGCCTTGAAAGTCGCCATTGAAGGGGCATCCACCACAACTCTGGGCAACCTGTTCCAGTGCCTTATCGCTCTTTCATTCTTCAGCTGCATGTGTACTGGGGTGACATCAGTGAAACACATTACAGTCCTAAATGTGCAGGAACTGCTCTGTGTTAGAGAGAGCATTTACTTGGATAGAGAGGGAAAGAGTCTTGGTATATCTGATGTTTCCTTCTTGGTTTAGACCCACAGAGGATTTAGTTGACCCCAAGGATTTTGCTCTGGATTTTGCAAGGCTGGATGTGGTTTGAAGGCTCAGACGGATGCTTCTGAGAAAATACCTTTCAACATATCCGGACAGGTTCCAGGGCAGTAAGGCATTTGAAATTCAGAGGTATACAATCAATAGCAGGGCTTTTTTTTGTTTGTTTGTTTTTACATCAGTAATTCTTTAGGAGGTGGTGCAGTAGTGATTCTTTCAAAAACCCTATGCAATACACTCAACTATAGTAGGTAGACTTAAAAGGCATCATCATTACTCACAAACTTAGTCCATCTCATCATCTGTACACCACTATGGGTGCAACAGAATGCCACACAGACTATGGCATAGCCCACAGGGAAAGCAGGTCAGAAGTCTCCCAGGAGGCCTCCATGGTAATTGAGATCAAAGTTGAACTGACTTGAAATGAATGCACTGAATAGGTTAGACAACACATACCTTGTGTTTCTAAGTTGGTATTATTAAAATCAATAGTTAGCACCTCTATCTAACACACTTTTAAAGCACTGATACAAAGCAGCAGTTTTCAATACGGGTACTCACTCATGTTAGCAGCAACGATGACAAAAGGTCTCATGTAGGTTTTCTTCATGTTCTGGGCCACGTTGTTGAAATAATCCTCATAGTGCCTTAGAAGATGAGCTGTGCCACCCTCCGTTCGCTGAATTTGTTCCCACTGCTCCTTGTTGTTGGGATCCAACAGAGCACTACCCACTTTGATAATATTCTGAGAAGCAAAGGACAAGTCTAAATTATGAGGCAAAAAGAGCCCTGGATTTCAAGTGATGAACATTTTAAAAGGTTGCCATTACTGCCTCAGGGGAGAGCAAAATTAAATATTTTAATGTAGATATGTTCTTCTAAAGCCTTATGAAAATATCTTCACCAGTTACTGACGCTGAATCCATATGTATACATATATATTTTACATGAAGGAATGCCCTTCACAATTTTTATGAGCAAAGTAAGAAAAAAAAATTGGAGGCTGTAAGATAAGTGCCTATTTTTAACTCCTCTTTAAGAGAGGAAACATCAAGAAAATGCAGAAGGAAAATCTAATCATACTCCACAGAACCACAACATGGCCGAGGCTGGCAGTGCCCTCTGTGTTCCTCTGCCCAACCCATGCTCCAGCAGGGTCACCCAGAGCAGGGTGCCCAGGGGCACGGCCAGGCAGCTTCTGGAGATCTCCACTGAGGAGATCCACAGCCTCTGGGCAGCTGTGCCAGTGCTCAGCCACCTGCATAGCACAGAAGTGTTATCTGATGTTCATATGGAACCTCTGTGCTCCAGTTTGTGCTCACTGACTTTGTGTTCCAGTTCATCCCCATTTTCTTTGTCTATGAGAGATGTGAGAAGAAAAGCAGAGTACTGTTATGTACACTTAAAGAGCTCATCTAAGGAAATTAAAAAATGTGATATGCTAAAACTAAAAGAAAGTCACAGATATAAATATGCTTGCTCCTCTTTTCTTACTTTTTTCTTAATGTAGCTGATAACTATGGCAACTTGCTTGGGAAGCATGCAAATAACACAAGCAAATATTAGCTTGCATATAGAAACTTGCACATACACGTAACAGAAGTTAATGCATGCTGTTTTCCCCCATGTTTACGTTTTTTCAAATGGTGTTGAAAAAGTGGTCTTAGATGAGGACCTACTGCTTCTGCACTTTATCATGAGAATATTCAAAGGAATCCTAAAGGAGAATGGAAGAACAAGACTAAAAACCAGTGTCACATGACTTAAATGATAAAGGTGCTGAGCAGCGTTCGATCTTAGTGTAATTACTGGCTATACTGCTGGGTCAAAACCTAAACTTAATTTTACCTACAGGTAAAATTTGAATAAATGGTGGTAAAATGTAGTCGCTTCAAGCTCTGTGATAGAAGAAGGAAGTATCTGGATGCACATAACCTTTAATTTAGAAACAGACGGGAAAGGTGCTGCATTCCCTAAGTATTCCCTGAAGTTGCAAGCTTCTATTTGGAATACAAGAGACTGCCATTATTACTGCTGCTATCTGGGAGGAGAAGCACTACATGGTTCCCCAGGAACGCACTGTAGCAGAAGACACACGCTGTACTTGGTACCAGGCCTCCTCACTACCTGACAATGTTATTTATGGCTTTTTTGATCGCTTATACTTTTCTGGCTCCCTCCAAAGGCTACATAAGAATAAATTCCTTCTCCCCTTGTGCTCCCTCAGACTAGGATGTAACCTCATTTTTCTCATGAGCATTACTGATTAGTTTTCAAACTCCTGACCTAACCTAAAAATATTTAGGGAGTTCTTGAAAACATCATCTGTATGGAATTCAGTGCCAAATGTAGGGAATAATAAATTAAAGCAGAGTTTTTCAGACCACTATTTCCCAAACCACACGTTAAAAACCCAGTTCCTTCTCAAGATCTGAACTGGGAGATTCACTGACCCCAGAGCCAATAGCTACAAGTTTATCAGCAGAAGGTTTCCTTAGGAAAGAAAACACGGAATCTCTTACATTAGGTTTTTCTAAACTGTTAAATGTTTCAGAAGTTCTTCATTGTCTGTTGGCCAAGACAATGAGGAATTTTCTCAGCCATGCCTCCTTCTGCTCCCACCTCACAGGGAGGTGGTACGGCTCCCTTACTTCGTGGTGCAGCATGAGGTTCTCTCTGTTCAAGTGAAAGCCTGCCTGAGCACATCTTTCCATCACAGGTATATGTTTCCCCATGCCAAGGAGGGTGCTAATGCTTGTTTTCTAAATCTGATCAAGTCCTTAGTAATTAATGGGTATTTAATGAATGCTCTTACTAGCAGAAGCCCTCTGGCACTCATTTCCAATATTTGTATCTGCCTGCATCACTTGAAATCTCAATAGTGTGGAGTTTCTTTCAGTGTATCAACTCTTTAATAGATATTGTTCAAGTGTTTCCAAGTTGAATGGAGTCAGTAGCTGGCTCAGGGTTCACTACAAATTTAAATGAAAATGATGAAATTAGGCAAGTTTTCCAACATAACTGAATATAATAAACAAAGTAAGTAACAACCAGGAATAGTACACTTGATTATCTTTAAATTTGAGGAATTTTACTTTTGGTTGCTAGTATGATACTATTTATTTCAACAGTGCTTTCTATGACATATACATGTCATGCACATCTGCATGCACATAAATATGTACAACCAGCCTTCCATTCTAAATTGAAAAGACTGACTCATTTGTGAGACAGATTAGAGCAGCTACATCATACTCACTCCTATTTGGTCAAAGACAAATTCACTTATCAACCCTCAGTTGCCATAAAACTTCCCAAAAGAACTGCAAAGTCCCAGCACAATGTGCAGTATTTCTCTTACCTCGTTGAACTCCACGTCCCTAGTTGCTGCCAGGTCAAACCCTTGCTGCTGGCTTTCGTATTGTAGGACCCGGATCATCATCTGGTAAGCTGTCCTCACATCATTGCCATACAAGCTGTGTGTGTATTTGGTGGCATTTTGTAGCACTCTCACAATCTGTATGGTTTTGTCTCCATCCAGTATGGTCTCATTGCGGTGTAACTTCTCATTCTGAACCAGAGACATAAAGAAAATGAAGAAAGAGAATTAAGAAAAACATTTTATTTATTATTCATTCATTTATTCGTTTGTCCACTTGTTTAAGGAACTCTAGCACCAAGGAGTTGTTTGATCCAAATGGTAATTTGGAGAGAAAAGCTGGATAGGACAGCTCAGTTGAAGATGTAACTCAGACTCAGAAAAGTGCAAGGGTCCAGATAGGAAGAGAGGGGGTCAAGAACTCAGTTGAGGGATGAAGTGTAAGCACCTCAAACTGGAGTCTGATTGTTGATCATTTACAAAATAAAGACAGAAACTGTAGCATTTCTCAAAGAGTGTAAATATTAACAATATGTTTACTAGCGCTGAGACAAATTAAGCAATAGATAAGCAATCAGAAACAAGGTATAACAAGAAGATCAAGAATAGCCATTATCAGTTCAAGGGAAAACTACAATGGATCAGCGGAAAAAAAAGATCTTTGTGCTGGATTATCACCTATGCAAATCAAGAAGTCACAGAGTCACAGACACATAATCAGTAAGGTTGAAAAAGACCTCTAAGATCATTCAATCCACCTACCACCAATATCCACATGAATATTCTCCACTGTCCTCTGTACTCAGCACTGTTCCCCAGCCTGAACCAGAGAACAATCACATTGGATATAAGGAAAAAGTTCCTCACTGGGCACTGGAACAGGCTGCCAGGGTAGTGGTCATGATATCGAGATGCCAAAGGTCAAGTAACACTTGTTTGGACAATGCTCTCAGGCACATGGTCTGATTTTTGGTTGGTCTCATGTGGAGACAGGAGTTGGATTTGATGATCCTTGTGGTCACTTCCAACTAAGGATATTCTATGATTCTATGATAATTTATATCAAGTGGACATTTGGACTAGAGCACAAGTAGTCACTGGACACTAGCTATAGTGCATATCCCTTCACTTGGCTATTGGGTAAGCAAGTACACGTGCACGTATGTCACACTTCAGTAGATCAGAGAAACCGTTTGCAGATTTTGCTGTGCTCCATGTGTGCTGTGTCCTGACAGGTTGATCATACTAAATACAAGAAAACACAGCTTACCATGACTTTTAGATCCACAAAAGTGTTGGTGGTACAGTTGAAAAGCTCGGGAGGCAGCCAGCCCTTCTCAATGTTACAGTGGCGAACTGCATTTCCTGAAGGAAACAACAAATTAAACAATGTTGTGAGATGTTCCAGATAAATCTTCACGGGTTTCTATTTTCAAATTTCTCAGGAATATGGAAGTATTTCACTTTCCAAACCATCATTTGTTTCTGAGAAGAGTTAAAGACCTCTGATCCTCTTGAACCATTTTCCCAGGTTCCTGGAAGGTTTCAGGCAGGCTTTGGTTCTGCCCATCCACTCCCAGCTGTGTTACCCCAATGTTCCCTAACAAATTGGACAAATTGTTTACAATAAATACGAGAAAGACCATGTAAATACTTATAAAACCATACCCCTGCTCAGATTCCTGTGCCATAGTCTATATGGGAAGATCACCCTGATAAATGCTATTTTCATGTCAAAATATGCTGCACACTGCCAAAATATGCATTGCACAATGCATACAGGAGACATTTCAGGCAATGCAAATTGTATTTTGCCACTTGAAAATGGTTTATGAACAGCTTTCTGTTTAACTTACTACCTTTTACTATTTGTTGAATCATTTCAAAACATCGCTGTGGAATCTTCACAGTGAATTTCAAATTATCAGATTCAAGACTTTACGTTGTGCTAATTAATTTTGGATACATGTTGCATGCGTCAAGGTGATTTTATTACTAATATCTAAACAACACAATTATAATTGATAGAACAATATATTACTATGTTATTTCTCTTTCATGGATTTACAGTTAAACTTCAGGTTCCTATTAGAATATTCATTATTATAAACATTACTTTATTTGGTTGTTCTGTAAAATTAACTTAGTGTGCAATTCCTAAGAGTACCCCTGCCTACTACTTGCTAGAAGAGATACTAGCATCACCCACAGGAACAGAGCATATACAGTGAGAAAATTTATTTTAATTCCACTTCAGAGTTTTTATCAATGAAAATACTCTCTAATTAAAAAAAAAATTCATATTCTAAAGTCCTTAGAAGTGGAGCTGGGGTTACCATGAGTCCTTTGCACACCTGTAGGCATGGACCTGCTCCTAGCAATACATGGAAGAGTTACACAGCCCTTTGTAACTCATGGAACCAAAAGACTGCTCACAGCAGGTAAGAGTCCCTGGTCTAGAAATGAGACAGAGGCTTTGTTTCCCATGGAACACCCTTAATAAGAGATTGTGGACTTGTTTTCAAAAACCTGCTCTGGTTTTCTGTAAGATAAACATTTTTGGGGACACATGAAAAGAACAGATTGCTGTTGTTTCACAGTACAAAACAACACAGCTCATGTGCTGGTAGAATAGGTTTTTCAGCCACATTAATTGTGAGACATTTGAGAGCAAAGAGACTGCCATGCAAACAGACCTCATTTTATCTTTGCCCACAGGAACTGTATTACTGGAGACTGTGGTAAGACTCCAGAAACTGGGAGTTACCCATGTAAGGAGTGCTTGAGCAACAGAAACCAGAAAATTGGACAGTGCCCTTCTGAAAATGCAGATATGAAATCTCTGCTCTTTACACGTGTTTGTCTGCTATTATTCCAAATTTATTGTAACAGTTCTTTCATGCTGGACGACCACTGAGCACCCTGATGGAGCTGCAGGTGTTCCTGTTTATTGCAGGAGAGTTGGAATAGATGGCCTTTAAGGGCCCCTTCCAATTCAAATGATTCTATGATTCTTGTTGTAATCTCATTTATCTCTCATTCCCAATATACACTTTTTTTTTTTTTTTTTTCTGTTCCCCACCCTCTACCTCCCCTCCAGGCATGTAGATGAGACAGTTAATGTTTTATCTAGGGAACTTACCCACAGATCCCTTTGGACACGGCACAGCAGCTGGCTGGCCAAACTTGGTCTGCGGCCACCAAATGCCAGCCTCGAAAGCTTTGGGACATCCGTTATAAATTACTGAAAGCAGAAAAAGAAAGGATGCAATTTTTCAGAGGAGGTAAAATCACAGAGAAGCAAGGAGACACTGCAGCCTGCCAAAGGAAATCCGGCCATTCCCAAACCCTGCCGGGATCCCTGCTCTCTGCAGCACTTCCCAGGCTGTGACCCATCACCTGCTCCTTGCTCAGCAGCATGGTCAGACAGGTATGGGCAAAGGAGAGCTCAGGATGATTACGGGGCTCTGCAACTTAGTTCTGTTATCTCTGTCCACTCCTTTCTTGTGGGAAAGCCTTTCCCTGCTGTTTCACCCACACGCTGCAGCTCAATGACTGCTGCAGCAGCTTTATGCTGATGGCGGGAGGAAGGTGGGTGAGCAGACAGGCAGGGCAAGAGAGGCAGGGAGGAGAAACAGAGGGCCCCTGAAGCGTGGCACAGGACATGCATCGGATCACACGCTCCTCTCTCCCCACACCCCATCTCCCCACTGCCACCAGATCCTACAACCCCCAGTGCTGGGCAGTGTGTGTGGCTGGGCCGTACCTTCGCAGCCCCGGGCAGTGACCTCAGCGAAGGGGTTGTCGCAGCGGTTGCACTGCCGCCCGATGACACCAGGCTTGCAGGGACACTGTCCTGTCTCCATGTCACAGGAGCGCGTGTGGGAGCCGGAGGGGAAGCAGTCACAGGGGTAGCAGGTGTCACTGCTCTGTGGCCGGTAGTAATTGGCCTGGAGAAACAGAAATGCACAGGCTATGAGGTGCTTTACTTCTATGCCAAATCACTTGTGTTTTGTGCTCAGAAATCCTGCTGTTGGAGCAGCGCAAAATGGTTCACTGAGCACAGCACTGGATAATGATATTGCAATTAATAGAAAACATAAAATTTGATCATTCTTTCTGCTAACCCCCAGTTAGCTTACTGCATTAGGCAGGCTGAGCATGGCAGGGCTGCTGGGCTGCCTGGGGTTGCAGACCCATAGCTCAACCACTGTTTGTAGTGGGGCCAAGACCTCTTGAGTACTTGCTGCTGCTGCCCAGAAAGCACATTCTTGGAGGATTTGCAGTTTTCTCTGTTACACAATTTGACTCTTGTCTAGCTCAGACAAGCCTGTAAGAAAACCTCTTGTATTATCCATTTTTGCTGCATGTACGGTGTGGAGAGAAACCAATGATCACATATTCAAATTGCATCTGCAAGCACTTTTGATCTGAGGCATTATGTGATTATATGAGACAATGGAGCAGGCGCCCCACTGACTTGATTTAACGCAACAGTTGCTGTGTGTCCTGCTGGCATTTAGGAAATAAGTGCTGGGCCAGATTCACTGCTACTGGTTCAAACAGGCAGGGCTACTCTGAGGTCATCCCAGCCCATTGTAAAATCCTTTGTGAAAAGCCTATTGTAAAACCTCCAGGAGGGAGGCACTTCCCATCCCCAATCAGCTTCATCCCTACAATCTGCAACAAGGCTGGAAAGAGCTGCCCCCAACGAAAGTATTTAACCCCAGTTTTATTCTCCACTTTTAAGCAGCTAGGTCTTCTGCTGGCCCACTGCAGAAGACAGCTAGGCCAGCTAGCCCAAGCTGCAGCTTAGTGATCGCTGCCTGTGACACAGCAACCACCTCCAGCATTCCTCTGCACCCAGCTCTGATCTCCCCTGATAAATTGGGCTGCACTTCAGAGAGAGCAGAGCCAGGCTTTCCTCCTCTCAGTTTTGCTTTCCAAAGGCAAATAAGATAAGAGCTGCACAGTACGTTTTCGTGAAAGGCAGTGCCAGCAAAATGTTTGGGGTAAACATTAACTATACTGTGCACATAAAGGATATAAAGCAGAACTGTGTATGCTTTGTCTTCGTTGTTGCAGTTATTAGTGATATAGTTACATTTTAAGCTAAAGAATTTTGACTTATGACTGGTTTCTTCTGCTTACCTTACAGTGACATTCCCCATTGGTCTTATTGCAGTCTGGATCAAACCCTTTGCTAGTCTCACAATTACAAGGACCACAGATGGGATTTCCCCACCAACCTCTGGGACAAGGCAAGTCAATCCTATAAAAGAAAACAACATCCAAAGGAAGTTCTTTTAAGCTACCTCATAAAAGGTGGGAAAGAAGAGCTCTGAGCCAAATCTGCACTCGGCTCCGTTAGCTTACAGGGCATAATGTATCTCTCTGCAGCAGCTACCACTTTATATCTGTCTATCTCTATATATGTAAACTGCAATAAAAAAAGATAAAGGATATTAGTTCCATGAAACTCTAGTGGCAATGCTTCTCTAAACACTTTCAAGAACAGTTCCTTTGTAAGTAGTATACATCTCTACAAGCAAATAAAGAGCTTTTTCCTTCGGGAGGGAGTATCCACACTGCCAGATGGTCCCTGCTCCCACCAGCCCCATTTGTGGTACCCCTGTGTCAGCACAGGTTGGGGCAGGCTGGACAGTCTGTGCCAGGCTATGCTGATCCTCCAGCAGTCCACATCCTGTCCTTAGCAGACCCACTGCCACCAGCATGGTTTTGGAGGAGGATGGAAAGTGTGGCTGGGAACATGGAGGAGGGAACACTGGCTGCTTTGATTCAGGCTAGCTGGAAGTGCCACGGACACTTCCATTGGCTGCACTCTGGTGAATGCTTCAATGGTACAAAAGCTGGAAACACCATTGGAGGAAGAGATTTTACAGCCTGCCTCGTGGAACAGCACAGCTAGCCAGAGTCCAATCATCAGCACACAAGCTGAAGGATAATAATTGTTTTTGCTGTTTTTTTTTTCCCTTGGGTAAAATTCTAAGCAGGTTTGTCCCACCGCTACTCCAACACTAGTGCTGGCAAAGATTGCTCTGGGATGAGGCAGTCTGTACAAACCTTGACAGCTAAAAGGACATCAAGCAAGAACCTTAAAGATGTCACTGCCAAGGCTGCCATCAGCAACAATGCACAAAGGAATCCCTTTCCTGCTGAAAATCTACAGAAAGAAAATCTGTTTACGCTTGCTTCAAAGACAGTGCTGAATGTTGATTAGGGTAATTGCTGGGCTTGTACATTTATGCTTTGTAATATGGAAGAAAAGAAACCAACAATGTTCTACTTGACATGAAGTCAGCAGATAATGACAGGGGACAACTTCTCCACATTGCTAGTCGAAGGGAATGAAAAATGAAAAATGAATCTGGCAACAGTGTGACCAGCATTTGCAAGCCCGCACAACAGAAGGCAGAGGAAGAAGTCTGCAGTTATCAAAGTAAAGGAAACAATACCACATGAGGTATTCCTAAGCAAGTAGACAAATGAACATAATTTGCACATCATGAATGGTCTCAGAATAAGAGGAGGCTGGTTGCTGAATACTTACCTGAGACCAAGAAGCTGTTGATGAGGGAATCAGCAGTTTTTTTTCCACTCACCAGCAGGGCACAGGACTCCTAGGCTGTCCAGAAGATGTAGATTTTTGCCAGCCCAGGGACCAGACCCAAACTTTCAAAGCCATTTTACATGGCCAGGTCCCCTAAATGGGTGCATTGCTGTGTGTGTGTGTGCTGGGGGAGCTGGAGCAGAGGTACAGAACCAGCTCTGGCCAAGCCTACACTAAGATTCAGGGCAGATCGATGCTGTTTAACACAGCACAACTGCTTTAGCCCCTGAACTGCTGGTGAAGGAAAATGGTCTCTGAGCGTATGGAAATTTGCCTGCTCTCTGAGAAGAGAGCTCAAGAGCACCAAAGGACAAGTGGCCTTCAATTACCAAGTACTACAAACACTTGAAGTAGAACAGGAAAGCTAACTGAAGCAGAATATAAGCTGGGACTACTGCTTCCTTAGGAGGAGAGGTGGCTGGGAGGATCATGGAGCCAAAGAATGAGAATAATTCTCTTACTTGCTCTCACAGTACTGCCCATAGTAGCTCTGTCCACATTCACAGGTGTATCCATGGGATGAGCTAGGTTTATGCACGCAGGTGGAGACATGCTCACACGGGTTCAGGTTACATACATCAACACAGTCTCTTCCAAAGTACCCTGGGGAGACAAAGTCATAAAATTACAGCAAGCATTGTAATTTATGATTTGCTTGTCTCTAAAAGACCATTTATTTTAAGCTTACACACTAATAAAACATCTTCAATAATCAATAGATACCCCAAGATACTGTCCAAAAAAAGGTACTCTTGCTTCTCAGCAAAAGCTAAAGTGGGCTGCTCTTTTCAACTGTCTGTTAACATGCTTGAGGTGCCCTTGTATCTTTGGTCCCCAGTTCTATAAACAGGGCAAGTTTCACAGATTGCTTTGTATTATCTCACTGCACATATGAGAGGTGACTGCACCGAGTGCTGACAGCATGTCCTGGCTGCATGCACCAAAACAGAGAAAACTTTCAAAGTATCTTGATTAGGATGCAGAGTATGAGACTGAAACCCAACAGCAAAAAAGGCTGGGAAAGAAAAAAAACCAAAATGAAACAGAAGGAAAAAAAAACAGAAAAGAAGAGAAAGGGAAGTGCACAGAATGAGTCCTTTGACCAGAAACTGTCTTTCTGTTTGGTTGAAACGCTGCCTAGAACAAATGATTCTTAGTCCATGCCTGCAGTTTCATTGTGGTACCACAAATCAGAGAAAGACAATACTGGCTGGAAGAGGAAGAATCAGTAGATAAGCACTAAAGCAGCAGCAGGATGTTTTCAAAGGGCTTGCAAAGTGTCCTGTTGCTGCTGCTGTTTTTCTTCTGATGAGACTGTGGAGAAGCGATCCAGCTCCTATCCGAGCACATGGGATGGGTCAGTGGGTTACCTGGGTCGCACACACAGGAGTAGCTGTCCCAGTCATCGCTGCAGTAGCTGTGCTGAGGACATGGGTTGGAGTCACAGGGGTTATCCACTTCACAACCCTCCTTCACATTGATCTTGATAGCCTGTTTCATGTTCAATGTAGCTACATTTGTAGATGTCTCTCCCATTCTTACTCCCTGGTGACAAAAGACAACTATCTTTAATTTAGAGTGCTCATTCTGGATACAGTACTTTGTGTTTTATTACTACTATTTCTATTACTAAATTACTATGAGGCTACAGTTTACAGAAATATCACCTGATGAGTCAAAAACAGGTATTTTCTAATTCCAGTCTTTGACAAAATCAAAGAAGAAAAAGAGAAGGGACATTCTCCTGTGAGACTAGATTTGTACCTGGGAAAGTGCATGGACATGACTATTTGGATCCCTAGACTCTGATATGTTTGGGAAAGGATGAAAAAGGAAAACCTGTATTTTCATATGCACATTTTCTTAGAAGTTCAGTATTTGCCACTACTCTTCTCATGTCATACCTGCATACAGCCATAAAATCCCTGCTGAACAGAGACTTGGTCTCCAGAGACACCTCCCACAATGATGCTTTTCATTTTCAGTCCAGGTAGTTGATTTCCAATCTGCACAGTGCTCTGTTGAGGAAAAGGGCAGCTGATAAAATGCACTGCCACTCTCTACAACCCAGATACTTTCTCTACTGATGGAGTGCAGAAACAGCTGGCAGTAGATAACACAAAAAATACTGAAGTGGTGAGAAGCTTGGACATTTGAATGTTTTACTGACCTAAGATACATTATCATTAGGATTCGTAAATTAATGTAACTTCATTAGGCACCAATCACTGCAGAACATGGATCAGAGCAGAAGTATTTGTCCACAGACTTTTTGAAAAATTTTACTATGGTGCTCAGTGGCAAAGTTCTAATGCTGCTGTACCTGGTACATCCCATAGTCCAAGGACATGACAGCTAGGTACTTGATGTCTTTCCCATCTTTAGCACTCTTTAGCTCTATCAATAAATGATGCCATTCCCCATCACTGACTCGTGTTTGGGTCATCTTCAAACTGGCAACCTGGGTCATGCCACTGTATACTTCAAACTGCACGTAGTTGTTCAGTATCTGTTGGGAAAAAAATGAAGTCAATTATTTGGCATGTATTTGTATTTTGTGAGACAGAAGGCAAGATCACATTTGCTAACAAAATCACCCCCCCAGAAGTACAATAGAAAGCAGAACACTTGCAGTAACTCTTCATATGACTTCAGGTATTCAGTTGCTAATTGTATTTGAGCAGAAGAAAGACAACAGAGACATAGTCTTTGCATTGGTATTAATGCACACTACTAAGTTTGTTAAGAAAAAAATATCTTGAGCCTCAGAATGTGAATTTTAGAGTGATAGAAGGATGATTAAAAGAATAAAGAAGTCATTTGTATTTATTGCTGTGCACTTAGCTGGGTGGAGGAAGCTATGCAGTTCACGTGGCCATGTCCACAGATGGGGATGGAAGAGGATTTCCTAAGTTTTTTCTAAGCAAAAAAGTCCACAGTTCTACCTGAATGTTGATCTTGGATGCAGTTCCTGCATTTGCCTGCATCAGCATGCCATTGACTTTCCGTGTTCTGAACATCAGCCCAATGTACCATGGCACAGAGATGGTAATATCAAGTTCACTCCAAATGATAATGCTCTCACCACTGAAACGCTGAGGAGAAGGCATTACTGCATAAGGAAAGACAAGACAGAAATATCTTTGTATCCTTCATGACAGAGGTTAAGAGGAGAAATGACATGCAGGGCAGCACCTCCCCACTGATACTGCATTACACAGGTGAGAAATGTTCCTAGAAAGATAAGCTCAGGATCTCTGCTGGTAGATTTCTGACGAAGAGTGGGTGGACAGAGCCGGAATTACAAGGGCAACACTCACTGCAGATATTTTCAACATATCCTTGATTACCTGCTTCTAATTAACAGATTAAACACAGAGGAAAGGCTCTGAGGCAACAGGAAATATTAATTAATTATAAATACTCCTGGGCCAGCTTATTCAGCTGTCTCAGTTATGCAGTCTTTTCACAGGGAGATAGCTCTGGTGCAGCTACCAAAACCATCTGCCTTGGATCTCTAGAGCTGACAGCTGAAGCGTTGCCCTGATGTCTAATCCTGCACAAACATTCAGCGGCTTTGGTTGGGACCCACTGTTGGCTCCTGAACGATGCCCTCTCTCTTTTGATAGACTCCAAGAAGCAGACTCCATAGTTTGTGGAGAACCTGTGCTCCATCACCACCCACACAGTAAATAATATTTTCCTGGTATTCAGATGGAACTGTTATCTGGTTTGAGCCCATTGCCTTTTGTCCTATCACTTGTTCCATCCTATTCGTACCCCTCTTGCTTAAAACTCGAATCCAGTGCTTGAGCTCTGGCTCTCTGGGCCAGTGCATGATTCACCAGTCCGCACTGCAACCACATCAATGTACACCATGACATCCACAATGACCACAATCACTGCCTCCTTCTGTCCTATGCATGCATCAGCCAGCTGGCTCCATCCTCCTCTACCCTGCCAATCTTCACAATAACTTTAACTCCCAATTTCTTTGCTAGTGGTTTTCCAGACCATCGCTGAGATTTTTAAGCCTGCCTCCTCCAGAGAGCAGACAAGAGGCAAACTCTGGGCCCTCCCACCTGCTACAGGACGGGAAAGCTGTTTGCAAGCTTGGCTCCTGGGAGAATGAGACAGGCATGACAATAAGCCACCTTCTTCCTTTTCTCACCAGTGGTAACTTAAGGTGACCACAGACATCATTCTCTTCCCACATTTCTTCCCAACTCCCCTCCCTTCCCTGAGGCCAGGGTGCAACTTCCCTTGTTTGTAGAACAGAAATCCCCGTTCCTCAGCCCTCCGGCCTCTCTCCATCCCCATCCCTTCCCCAAGCCTGAGGCCAGGGGTCTGTAGGGAGGGCTGGTGGCCACATCCAATGCCTACAGAAGGGACTCAATCAATCCTGTCACCTCGGGGGTGAGCACACATGCTTCAAATCATCTCTCTGCCTTGGAGCTGCTACAGAAAGCAGATATGTCACTAGTGGTGGTGATAGCAGCTCTGGGCTCTGTGCTAGGTGGAAGTTAGCAGAATACCTCCACCATCTCTTTCTGCCACCCCCACCCTGCAGACCCTCCTTTCCAAGCTAGAAGCATAACTGCATGCTCTGCCTGCAGCCTTCTATTCCCAAGCTGCTCAGGCAAGATGAGAGCAATTCCAACCTAATTCTGGCCTCTTTGGTGAGGCATGCTGTGCTAAAGTGGTTTGCAAACATTATGGCATGCACACCTCAGCCTGGAGTCTGCTATTCCAGGGTTCATGTCCTGCTGAGAGTAATAATGTCTGATTCAGGGTTGATATATCAAAAGAACAAAATCCTTGCTTGTGCTGCAAACTATTCTAGGCTAAGTGTCATGGAGAGGATAATGGAAAGAAAACCCTACATTACCTGCACCTGGGCAAGCACTGGGCAGAGTTCATCCTTCTGTCTCTAGGAAAGCCATGTCCAGTTAAGACATGTGCTCTTTCCTGGAAGCCTCCAGTGCAAGAGGACTCCAGAACAGCAATGCTGTGCCAGATGTGGTCATGCTGCCTTGGGGGAACAGGCAGCCTGCAGTGCACTGACCCCAAGGATCCCCTTGGGCAGGCTCCTCTGGCTTCCCTGGGGAGAAACTAACGGCAGGTTCTTCACACCCTATGGAACACACCTGCTGCTCCTTCCTCATCTAGTATTAATGAGGTTTTACACATACACGCACATTGTGCTCAATTAAAGAAAAGCCCAGCTAAACTGGAAGTGTTCATACTCAGCAGAGGCTGCCTTCTTGCCAAGGAAGTGGTGATTAAAAATGCACATTTGACCCTGGTTTGAGTCAAAGCCTAATAAAGTCAGCAGGATTCTTTCCACTGATTTAAGAGGGCTTAGAATTTGGCATTTTTATTATAAACAAATTACCGAATACTGCCAAGTGCTGTGGAACTATGTTGGTCGTGTAAGTAAATTAATGAAAGCTGCTGTTACCCATCAGTAAGTGAGCTATCATATTTCCTATACAGGCAATCTCACACAGATTTCAAACAGACAAAAGGTGATTTTTCAATTGCAGTCCTCTGTTACTTATTCCTTAAACTGCCACAGTTGGACACAAATGCTCTGAGATGTCAGTGACTGGTAATGGGATGAGATGACACACAGAGAGGTCCTTGCACCCTACCTTGCTCGCAGTTCTTCCCTCCATACTGCACGGGGCACTCACAGATGTAGGTGCTCCACTTGTTGACACATGTGCCTCCGTTCTGGCACCAGTTGGCTTCGCAATAGTTCCTCTGTGCTGCACAGCCTGCAATTCAGAAAAACAGTTGCTTAACACAGCTTCAGCAAGAAAAGGCTCTGAGTGACTGAATCTGAGTTTATCTGCAAAAAGAAGACTTAATCACTACAGTCTTTTTTTTTCTAATAAATACACTTGAAGGCAGTGAAGCAAAATATGGATGGCAAAAGTTTTCATGAGCTGGGCAAGTGTCAAATTCATAAAGACAAACCAATCAATAGCTATTCAATTCAATCACTGAGCTGTAAATCTCTGTAAATTAAGAGAAAATTTGAGACAAGTATCCAGCAACCACTGCAGGAGACAGCCAGATCAACCAGTGCTATGATTCAATACCACTGTTCTCAATTTACTGTCATGTAACAAAGAAACTAATCAGGGAAAGGCAATGTGTACTGTCACACAGAGGAGTAAAGCTATTGTAGGTTTTAAACCATGTGGGAACATGCTTTAAAATGAGGAAAAAGAAATTCAATCTCAAAAAAACACTTCTTATGTCCTTTCGGATGTTTATTTTCACAGGACAAAAATTTGTCTTTAAACAATATTAGGGTAATGAATATTAAAAAAATGCTCCAAAATAAGCAAGTCATCTGAAGCTTATGCTACAACTTCCTTCTTATCATATGATCAGTGCACCAAATAAAAAACAGAATTTAGCTCTTACACAGACCTTCAGCAGGGTGAAAGGAAAGGTCTTGCCTTCCTCTGTGTAAGAGACAGATTGACGTGGATGAGAACGTTATGTAAATCAGAATTAATCTTAGTTGATCCGGGAACAAGAAACCAACCCAGAAATTCCAACAGGCTGCTGCATGAAACTGGCTTCAGACATGGAAAACTGCACCATTTGACTTACAGGATAAACATAATTCATGAAAAAGTCACTATAAACAATGTCTTTTTCACGAAGTAATCCCAATGGCTTTCAGAGCAAAGTCACATTGAATAGGTAGTTCTTTCATTGTTTAAAAAAAGAGTAAATTATCTGTACAAATTCCTGGGAAAAACTTGTAGTGATGCAGAAGAGTCTAAACAAGCCCAGCGCTTTTCTGCACGCCACTTACACGCTTAAGTGTGCCCCGTGCCTTGTGTGTGCATCCTTGGCACAGGTGCTGAGCACACCTTGCTCAAACAGACGAGGTGCTGAGCAGGCCTGGCTGCAGTCGTGCCAGGGATGGGGCTGCTCACAGTGCCCACCCTTCCGAAGTGCTGTTTTACATACAGCTAGGGCAGAGAGCTTTCTCCTGTTGACTTCTGAGCCTTTGGTCTTTCCTACCTGGCAGCGTGCCATTATTGGCAATGAAACTAGCCATGTCAATTGGCTTGCTGTCAATGGAGAGGTTCCTCATGCAGCCGACAAACTGCCTGTTGTGCACTGGGAAATCTTCTGGCAAGTTTGGGACGCCGCCGAGCAGCAGAGGGCCAGTCAGGTCCAACGATCTGAAAGAACAAAGAAATGATCACTGTTTCCTGCGTGCTGTTTTGATTCTTATCTTACTGTTTCCATAAGCACGTAGGAGATGTTGAGTTTACTTGAGTTGCCATTCACCTCTCTCTGCTACAGCAGCATTTTTAGAGCCTGTAATCAAACAAGTCTTTGGTGAAACAGCTGTTCTTGGTGACAATGCAGAAACACCATAATCTGTCAAGTGGCTGTTGCTGTATGCACACAGAACCCAATGATCCGTCTCTAACAGTGGCCAACACGAGGAAGAAAATGAAAATTATGGGAAAACGTACAGCTGTGGGTCACTTCTTTCTGACTCTAGTAAGCCAGGGGCTGGCTTAGACACAGCAACAAAAGGGCTGAGTAGGTCAGACTTTCGTATAATGACTTCATAACCATACACTGCCAATTCTTTTTAAGACTTCTGAAAATTTGATTGGTGGAAATAGATTCCACTGATTGATTCCAGACTGCAAAAAGTCTTGAATTTCCTAATTTTTATGATGCTCTCTTTCCTTGGGATTCGAGAAAAGCATATGCATATCAATGTTTTTTTTTGCCATCACTCATTATTTTATACCCCTATTTGTTATTTTCATCCATTTCCTCTTTAAACGACAGGAATAATCTTTTTGGCCTTTCCTCACAGAAAAGTTTTTTTCTCATAGCTGATGAGTTTCTGTGACCTCTTCTGTGCCTTCTTCATTTCCATCTCCTTTGAAAACAGGACTGTTAACTCAAGTGATGGAAGTATTAAGCTTTTCAGCTATCTCCTTCCTGAAAATGTTTAACATTGTATTTGCCTCACTCTCCATATTTTCAAGAGTGGACTATTTTCTGGGGCCATCTACTGACTTCTGGTTCATTTTGGGGCAATTTAGGCACATGTCTGTCTATGTGAAACTGCATTGCACCAGGTGTGTGGTAACCTCCACAAAATTTCATCTGCCAAACTAAAACTTGTCAATTTTTCTTGTTAAATTGCATCTGTTTTTCTGACTTTATCTGTTTGATTGTTAACCTCACGTTGCTGGCTCTTCCCTGGAGGAAGAGAATGAATGGAAAACACAAATAGAGGAAATTCTTACTTCTTTGAGCCAGTCTGAGTCCCCTGGGCAGCACAGGTGTAGTTTCCAATGAGGCTTCCGAAGCGTACGGCCACTGCTGTGTCACAGTCATCCACGGTCACCACTGCCACCTTCTCCCCCGAAGGCCCATGGGGAATTCCTAATCGCCCAATGTTGGGCTTCAAGAAGGAAATGGCACATCATACAATGCTATATACGTACCAGGATTTAAACACAGGTTCCTACAGCTTAATAGCACACTTCTTATTACTCCCAAAGGGGGACTAAAATAGGATGTGTAAATAAAATAGAAAAAGTTAAGTTGACTGGCAAGTCACAGGCAAGAAAAAAACAAAATGGATTACTTTAGAGGGTTTCATACACACCCCGTGTGATACATGGCATGGTCAGAAGTGACCTCAGTATTTTCCACTGCTGAATCATTTTGGCTCAAACCAAAAAAGCACTTTCTTACTTCTACATAACAAATTGTAATATATTTTGCTCTTTTTTTTACAGCTCCTCTCTTCAACTGAATAAAATCACTTGCACTTTAACATTGTTTCTACCCAAAGACAGAAAAAAACATTGAGTGATGTAGTATCACCAATGAGGCTAAACCCTTAGAGCAAGTTCCCTCTGAAGGGGCAGCTCTGTCAGAGGCACCAGAAGCAGAGTGCAGCTTCCAAAAATAAAGGCTGTAGTGAAAAGTTTTCTGATAACTGGGAAAGAGTTTAAACGAAGGTTGCTTGTGTCCTCCCTCTGCAGGATGGGTACGGAAACCCTAAGAGCACTGTTGAGCCAGCTGAGAAGTCCCCAGTTCTCATCACAGGACAGAGATCAGCAACCCACAGAGCTAGGCAAAGCCAAGAGACGGATCTGAGCTTGCTCACACAGCCACCTTGGTGCAGGCACTCAGACTGACATCATGGGTGGGGTGTGAAGGACAGGAAGAACGTGTATTTTAGAAAAGCAATAGAAGCTTGGGCTTGCCCTGATCTCTGGGTTCCGCCAGACAGCAGGAAACTCCTGCCTGCCTAACCGCAATGTATTCTGATGAACAAATGTGGGCACCAAAACTAGAACTATCACGCTCAGCCTCATAACCTCACTGCAACCCTGTGCACAGGAATTGTCACCTTCACTTCAGCAACTACAAAAACTGGGGAAATTCAATGATTTCAGCAGTCAGGAAAGCCGACAGGACCACTGAGAATCCAAACCCAATCATCCCCACCGCAGGCACATCCTTCATCTCTGGTATGTATCCACTAATTTCCCACTGCAGCGGCACAAGATCTACCCCACATCACTGACAGGAGACCACAGCTGCTGCACAGACACTGAACAGCCTCAGGAGCCATCCCTCTGTTGGAGGCGTGTATCATTATGGTGAAAAAAGTGAGCAGATACAAACAACAGCATGATAGCCTTGGTGAAGAGCAAAAAAATTGTGTAGGAACACTCATTTTCATGCTGGCTTTGCTGCCGTTCCTCTGTGAGCAGAGGGATGCCTCACAGGAGTAAACAAGTCAGGATCTGACCCAGACAAGCAGCATCACTGGAAGCCAAGGTATACTTTTAGATGTGTTGATCAACAAGGTTTGTAATCACAGCGACATGGAAGCTAGCCGGGCATTACACTGTAGTTTGCTGTACATCCACTTTAGAACACACATGGTTCAAATGGTGTGCTGAAATCCATTCTTTGTAGATCAAGCAAGGAAGCAGTAAGGAGATGAAAGCCAATTCTTTCTGCTACAACTGTACACACACATAAATACATTAAAATACATTAAAATCATACCATCATCAGTAAAGACAGCGAGATTTATTTGTAAGAGTAATTACCTTAACACATAACAAACTTTTTAAAAAGATGTTTCCTGGTGTCAGTTCCAGTTGGAAAGTATTTTCCATTTCCTCTACTTAATGTGAACTAATGTGATCACACAGTTTGGCAGCTATACAGTATAAGGTTTTGACCTCTCCTAACTCACATGAAGGCCGGTTTTATTTTTCTGATACTCCCCAGGCTTTGGTGCTGCCCAGCTTGGGCAGACAGGAAGCACATACAGTTGTGATGCTGAAAATATTACGGGGAAAACATTAGTGAGCAGCTTCTCAAAGTAAACGCAAAAAACACATAAAAAACAAACTAGCCCACAGGCAGACATTCCCTTCCAAAATTAAAATGTTTACGTTCTGGGTGCTACTTCTATTCATTCAGAGGAATGATTTGATTAACATTTATGTTCTCTTGCTTCACTGAAATAATCTATTGTTTCTTACATGGGAGCCTTGACAAAGGAAGGGTATTTACTCTCAGCAGGAGGGCTCTGCCCAATGTTAATCAAGAGTGCAACCTGATGAGATTCATCAGTTTGCAGCTGCTCCTTCACAGTCAAGCAGCCACAGTGGTAAATGGATTTTTTTTTCTTCTTTTATTTAACATTGAAGTTGCAAAAGTTTTTCTTTAGATGCTGACTGGTAACTGCAGTGCAGACCTCTGGCATCTCTTCAGCTCTGATGACCACACAGAACCACGAGCTGAAGAAAAATAAATGAATTACTCAAGTGAATGAAAAAAAACCCTGTACGCAGTACAAACCATCCTTAGCTCAAACATGTCACGATTTTCTGAACATGCTGAAAGTCCCATTTGATAGAACTGGCCAAAAATGGAAGAATACGTTGCTGACAAAGAAAATAAATTCCATGAGTGATTTAATGTGATCTGGGCTTCTTTGTTTTACATGTGTCATGTAATACACTACTCCTCAGGAAGCAGCTTAGAGAATGTCTTATATCTGAAATGTTGTAAATAAAAATGAAAGACTGGAACTGAGGGATCCTAAGTTAGGAGCTCTTGCAGAATTTAATCATGAAAATGATTTCATTCATTTAATATTTTGATTAGTATTATATATACAGTTTTCTGGTGATTTTAAGGATACCTAGAGTACTATGAGAAAATGATCACTTTGAATATGAGACTTACAGAATTAATCACACAACAGAGAACTTGGGATCTAATGTCAAAAACTTCTACTACTGGCTTACTGATGATGGAAAAGTATCGAAGAATTAATTGTATTAATCAACTATAAAACTATTAAGAACCACGGCATGGTTAAAAACACAAAACAATCACAATGAACAGTATAGAATATTGTAGATAATTTTGATTTCATTTATTAAAAGTAACTTCAAACTAGATGCACATTAGTGTGGTCAGGGCAATGGAAAACTTAACAGACCAAAAGGGCTCATGAAGGCTAGCAAAGGAAAGCTGGGAAGAGTTTTGGAACTGAGAAGATGCAATCTCTGCAATGGATGCAGTACAAGAACAAATGGGTAGACGATGCCCATGAGTAATGTAGGCCAGAAATCACCAGATGATACCCTGTCTTAGGAGGGGTGATCTTTGGGAGAGTGGCAGGGGCAAAAATTATAAAGAAGAACTTAATTTGTTTGGAATTAGAGCAGCTCATGTGAGCAGTGAGCTGACCTGTGTTCCTAAGAAAATTAATCATAGCAATTAATGCTTACAAAATGTTCAATAAAGGCAATACTGAACACTAAATGACAGCACAAACATCTACATTTCAAGCATGATCTCCACTTTTGTGGAATATTACTGGAGCAAGACTGATTCCTAACAGGAGGAACATCTGACAGAAAACAGCATCAATTCACATTATTATTTTCTGGAAATGTGTTCAGGGAGTTAAAAGCCAGACTTTCATCTGGGCCCTTAGCAGTCCTTTCTGCCTGTCAGCCTCATCTCCTGAAACACCACGCTACCCTCAAAAGGCACGTTTCACTAGTGTGCCAATTCTGCACTCATGAGTAAATGTTCAGTGTGGTGTACAGGAATGTACCAGCATGACCCCCATTAATGGCCATGCAAGTCACGTAGCTGAGTTCCTGCTCACGGAACTGAAAATTTAGCTTGCATTGCCCTAAAGACTGCCTTTTAACTTATTGCTTGCCCAGAAAGAAGCTGGGATTCAAACTTCAAAGACCACATGCTGAAAAAGCGAGTAGCAAGGAGAGGAACCAAGCAGCGCCAGAGAGAACCTGGTCACCCTTCAACAAAGCACAAAAGAATGTGTATGTCCTGGGCTGAAAACAGAAAAAAATAAAATAATAATTTTTTTAAAAAAATGTTGGAGAGCATTACCATTATCATCACGTAATGATTCTTCAAATATTTGGTGTACCCCATATTAAAGACTGCTGCATTCATATCTGTGCTTGTCTGTCATAACTGCACACAGAGTAATGAGAAGGAAGCAGAGCCCTGACACATTAAAGAGCTCCCTTCATTTTTCTTTATCTATAAAACAAGACAATTCATATTCATGCACCTCAAACCATGGCAGTAAGCACAAAAAACAGTAAACAATGGCCACTGTCGGGCTGTAGAGGTGCTGCTTCTGCTCTGCCACCTGCAGGCATTTCCTACGGTCGCAGTTGATGACAGAGTGAGAAAACGCCACTGAAAAAGTATTTTACTGGAGATGCCAGATCTGATTGTAGTGAAACCCAAGTGTGGAGCAATGAACTGTTTTGACACCATCCCACAACCTCAACAGAAAGAAACATATGTAGATCCTCAAAGGTGCCTGAAAAAAGCTGAGAAGCTTAATCTGTGAACTTGTGTTGTATAAATGGAGCCGGATAGAGGAGAGAAGGTCATCAAAACACATATGTTTATAGTTTGCATATCTACTGCACAAATCTACTCCCATTTCACTTAAAACATCAGAGAGAGATTCTGATATATCTCAGTTTCATTTGGATCCTTTCTTATTTTAAAGTAAATATTTAACTGCTGGAACACACATAGTTACTTATTAAAGATACAGATGTTCTAATAATGCATAGTGAATGGAAAAGACATACAGATTGATGGATAATGGAAGCCTTGTTCTGTATTCTTAAAACATTTATGTTACATTTTTACATTATAAATAATATTGTTTTCAAAAGTCACAACGCAAAATCACTGCAGAAATTTAAGCAAATAGTCCATCTTTGGTAGATTTATCTTGAATTAAACCAGACTGAATACCAAAGTTTATTTAGACAATCAATAGCAGCTATGAGGATTAGTTCTCTGGATCTTACCCTGTATTAGTTAATCCATAAGATCACAAAATCTTTGAATACC